CTACTCCCCTCTCCTATACTCGGCTATTCCTTAAACGCCTTATACACCTAAGACTTTATACAGTTTAATTAGACCATGTCTAAATTCTTTTATAATATATCACTCCCCTTACACTCAATCTGTTTGAAGTGTGTTCTGATTCCTTCACAGTAATACATATCTAGCCCCTTTTCTATTCAGACTTGTTCTTGGCCTCACCCACTGATTACAATAGTCTTGGTGGAATCATTAATCGAAATGGAATTCATTATGTTAAGTTTTTCTCGACCATGCATTGAGAGCTGGAAGACTTTTGTGAAAGTCATAGTTTATAGCTTGGATTCCACAGTGTGTTCATTGTTAGGCCAATGCAATATGATGACATTGGCCGGGAACTCATTAGAGTGCTATTGAGGCAAAAGGCACTGCAATATTCAGATTTACAATGGTGCCAGTGATTTGAAAGGATATCATTTCTAATCTTTATTCTGCGCAAATACAAATACAATTTAACTAACTTTCAAAGTGAGCAATATCGCCAGCGTAACTTTGAAGCTGACAATGCACTTTTGTCTGTTCTTTCACAAATGACAAAAGGCTTTAGTTAGAAGTGTCAATATTATATACAGTATTAAAAACAGTTCTCATTGAGAGCGAAATGGGTGGAAATTTGAGGAAATCCAAAGATAACATGACGTAATAGTGACATTAACTGAATGGCAGTCAAAAACAGATCAACCCAGTGCCATTTTAGAACCCTAACTCAAGTCCATTCACTGGGAGCTCATAAGTTAAATTCAATGCTGTATTTGCCTGAACATACATAGCTTTGAAACAGTTGATGTTATAGGCGCTATATCAATTTTAATGAGCATTATATTTCGGTTTACAATCTGTAGGGTGAAGATTGCCACATGTAATGTAATAGGTATCTGCAGTGATCATTATCACATCACATGTTGGGATTTGCACTCGGACTCAAACATTTTCAAGATCAGCCGTATGGTGTCAATGCAAAAAGCAATCCACTGACACCAAACTGCAAGTTTAAGCACAATGTGAATATTTGTGTCTCTCACACTCAGTGAAAAATACAAAGGATACAAAGAACTGGAAATGAGCCTTGGAAAAGATGCAGCAGGATTTTATTTAGCTATATATTTCTATATATTGCTCGATAAACCAGGCGAGAAGATTTTGTCTTTTTCCATGCAGTCACTTAACTATTCTACAAAATACAGTAGAGCAATACCAAATGTATGTGGGTGAGAAATAAAAACTTCTGTTTTCAATGTAAGCACATAACTGTGTGTAATGATATATTTCCAAACACCCCGCTGTCCCAGACTGGGCCTGTGGGACTACAAAAACATCTGCAGCTGTTGGAAGCGTTTTGGACAATTCTGGCTCGAGTTTGACTTTCCTTAAAGATTAACATACGTGCTTTATATCTCAACCCAGCAAAGGCACAGCTTGATCTTCACAGGATGCAATAAACTGCAAAGAATTCCATCACTTTTGCCTTTAGCTAGCAACACTGAAGGGCTCAGAATGATAAAACAACCATAAAATGTATTTTGCCTACTAAATACACTACCACTTTCCTCGATTCTGTGAAGCAATTTGAGACGCTTCAACACGATAAAGTGCTGTATCAAATTCACAGATTATTATTACTGCAGACCATAGGACTGTCAGCATTCAGCAATCTTGTCCTAACCCATATTGGCTCCTAAACAGTTTAATTGGTCACTGCTCAGTCAGGACAGATGAGCTCATAAAATCAAGAAAGTTTCAGAGTGCAATAAATGGCACCTTAACATAACAGCCTTCAGTTAACCAATTTCAAAGTTATTCAACAGTCTTTCATGTACTGAAAACATTCAGTGACGGTCAATAATCCAAAATTAATGACCAAATCACTTCACGTTCAGATAGTGTCAACGAGTCTCACTTTGTGAGGATCTCTCATTCGAACAACAGGCATTGATGGAGAGAGCAGAGTGCATTCATTTAGTCAAAGCTTGCAAGGTCAGACACAGAGCCAGGAACCCTGGGCAGGGTGCAATTGCTTCCATTTTACAATGCAACTGCAGCCAAGGATCACAAATGAAACAGCGGCATTAAATAACTGATTGGTGAGTCTGCTTGAGTAAGGAACCGCTCTGAGGACATTGGCATCGAACAATAAAACAGCAGTGCTCCATTTCGCAATGGAAATGCAAAGCTAGGTTACAGTGTAGTTTCTACATAAACGTTGAAGTAATCCGGCAGATTTACCCGCAGGACATGGAGGCTGTAAAAATGGATTCGCAGGTTGTGCAAAACTAAACTTACTCTCGTGGATTAGTAATTTCTTAAATGTGGAACAATAGAACATCGGACATTTCAGCTGACCATCACTCAATTAAATAAACAATTAAACAATCAGGCTAGAATAGGCATGTGTAAAGACAACACAATAAAGTTGCTGGGACATCTTGAGTGCTTAAAGTAACAGGAAAGTTTCAAAAGCTTCATACAGAAGTTTATTTGGTTATTTTCTGGCAAGTTACAGTGAAACCGGACTCACAATTAACATTGAACTGAAAGTAGCGGTTTTCAAAGAGATCAAAACAACTACAGGAAATAACTGTAAAGGTCTGAATAGCCTGGAAAACATCCACAATGTAGCAATCACCTGTATTTATCTTTATGTACAGTAAATATCAAAAATATTTATTCTAAGTGTTAGTGTGGCGAGGTTAGTACAATGCTTGCTCATTTTGGAGGTCTGTCTTTGAATCCAGCTTGAACAGAGTGCGCGAAAATCCTCTCTTTGTTCGCGATATAAATGGAATGAGGTTGAGGCAGTCTCATTCCGGAGAATCAAATAAAACAATTGCTCAAAAGTCATTGCAAACATTCCATCCTGCTCAGCGCTAATAAGGATGATGGAATGGACAAATGGGGGACAAAAATTCACACAGGGGGAGTGCTCGACTGAGATTTACAGTTAAGGCACCTTTTTGCTTTGGTGGCCGACATTGCCTACTCAAAACCGTCATTACACTTGACAGTAACTACCCGTGAAGCACTTTGGGATGCAGCGTTCACCAAAAAACAGTCAAGTGCGAGTTTTATTGTGCATAAAACACATGCTACGCTTCACACCTCTGTCAAGCCTTCAGAAGGCTAATCGGACTGTTTGATCGTGACAGATAGAATATGTACACCATCCAGAATGATGGATCCTTCAAACAATGGATGCTTCTCAAAGCTCTTTGTAAGTTCGGTAAACAGGCAAAATCTGAATAAGCAGGTATTGTATTCAAAGATAACAAGGGTTTAGGTTAACCTGTTTGGATTTAGTGTCACAAAATTGAACAACAGATCAGCAATATGAGGAACTTTGTATGACATTCAAGAAATACACCTTAAAATACAGTATAACAAGTGTTGAAGAACTCACACTACCCCCTCAATGCATCTCTCTCTAAACCCAATAACCGTGAATCCTTTGGTTGACATGCATTGTCTGGTTCCTTTCTGAAACTCTTTATTGTTTTAAATACCATAGAAGATAATTATAGACCAACTCCGTTAGCAGAAACACCCTGGTTTCTGGAGCTGCAGAATCATTGCTGTCTGAGTCCCCAATCCAGCACCTGTTAAAGTTTAATCTATGTCTCCGCACAATAAATTTTTAATGCTGTTAATAAACTGGTTACTCAATATGGTGGTATCGTGCCAGCACTTCAGCCATCAGCCAGACATCAAATTATCTTCACAGTGCAAGTCAGAGCCAAGATACAAACCATCGTCAATAATTTATTCTCTCTCTGTGCTCACAAAATTATTTAATGCTGACTGCATTTTAAAAAGATCTGTAGAAAGGTATCGGAGTTCAGGCTCTGTGTAAAATCAGTTTATAATTCATACTGAACAGTATAAAATTCAACATAGCCCTGCCAAGAAGAGTCTTGAATTACAAGACAACGTGGCAGGTCAAACACTCCAGCTACAGTATTATTCTGCAGCAACATGGTGGTCAGAGTTTATAGCCACACATCATAATAATAATCCTTGCATTTGATATAGCGTCTTGTCACATCACCGAGACGTTTCAAAGTGCTTCACAGAATACAATGTAAAGCGAATTGACTGTATATTTTGTGGGCGAAACGGGCCAGCCAATTGCGCACAGCAGTGTCTCACAAACAGTCATGAATTGAGTGACATTATTATTTTATTGATTTATTTATTTATGAAGGGAGTATTAACCCCCGAAAACGATCCGCCAATCAATTAGCCACCAGACTTCTACTTACTGCTAGGTAAACAGAGGCATGTGAAGTAAGGAAACTTGCCCAACATTTCTCTCTGCCTGGGAATCAAACTCAGATCCTCTTGCTTGCGAGGCGTGTGCTCTAACCACTAAGCTACATGACTCCACAAACAGTCATAACATAGCACAAGGCTATGTAAAAGGGCTTGGTATTAAATCTGTTAGGCTTTTTTGTTTCTTTCTGGCCAATTTATTCTCCCCTGCTCTCCTGAGGGACTCAGATACTTTGCTGTTTACAGTTCTGTAACAAAAACAAATTGCATTTATAGAGTGCCTTTCACACTGGGAAGACGTCCCAAGGCGCTGAAGCTGCTATAGGCCCTAACTGTCCTCTAAAATCTTACTCAATAGTTGCGCTTCATGTGTCAACTTAATACAGGGAGCGTTGGTGGTTCTTCAACCACGAGAGTGCATCATAGCCAAGCCTAACCTTGTTGTCATCTGATGTATTGCTCTTTGGCAAGCATATTTTGAAGCTAAGCATTTATATTTGAGCAGTGGGGGACTGCTGACCATCAAGTTAAGTAGGCTGTTCTTTCTGGCTTCTGGCTGTTTTACTGCCTGTTGATATCACTCCCCGAAAACCATGAACATTGATGTTGATTAAAAAAATCCTGGGATGTGATGGCCTTGTGATCAATCGCACTTAAGTGTTTCAATACAATGGTACAACGATACATAACATACTGCAATATTTCACACTGCACCCTCACTTTATTTACTCACAACACGTGTTTGTGTTACATTTGAGGTTTAGAAAGTAGCAGTGACAAAACAAACAACAGAAAGACCGATAGTGAGTTAGTGCTTCTGCTTTAACAGCAGAGTACCTGTTACATTTCATGCAGACATTGCGAAGAACAGACGAAGCAAAAACACCTTAGCTATTCCTGTAGAAATATTTGTCAACACAAGGTGCGTCGTACAACTGAGAGGCTACAGTTGAAGGCCCAGACACTGTCCTTATCTTGGGCTGCAGTGGTCTCTCCTCTCTCCAAAGGCTGTCCTAGGCCAGAAAGCAATGAAGTGACAGTCAGTAACAGATAAACTCCCAAAACTATAGGTGTGCCATTTGGATCTGAGAGTTGTCTTCCAAGTTAAGTTACCGCCAAGGCTGGTAGTCGAAGTGCAAAAGATACATGATCCTATGCCTGAATCATGTTTAGTATAGTATTAGTACCTGACGGAAAGCTGGGGAGAAAAGAGTTCCATTTCCCAGCACAATTAGTCCTGAAACGTTAAAATACAGAAAAGTACTAAAAATGCCCTGGAATTGTGGTGGTACTTCATCTATTTCGAACTAAGTGCAGCGTAAAAGTTGGGAGCAGAACAGCTGTGGGGCTGGAAATACAAATCGATAATGTTCTTGGCACAAGAATTTGTCAACAGAATTTGGTAAGTTATTATTGGTCCACGCACGCACCTTTCTGGAACAGTGGTATCTAAGGCATCAGGTGGAGACAGCAGTGCATGAAAAAGTCTCAAGTCAGCAGACAAAGCTGCGGGAATAAGTTCATCTCTTTGACTCGAGGAGTCGATTCCAGTAAAACTGGAAGGCTGGCGAGTTACAGGCACCGATAATGATCAGGAGCAACAAATACATCATCATCATGACTATGAAACGATGCCGGGAGATCCAAGAGGGTCGCTTTGTGGCTCTGGAACAACGACACAGAGAGTTATACAAACCACGGGAGGCAAATGGTTTTGTGTGTTAGATTTTTTTTAAAAAAAGAACATATTGAAGTTTTTTTCAAAAAAACATTACGTCTGAAATTGTTTGGTATACATTACAATGGTATACGTATTTTACGGTTTATTAAAGATTTTATTTTTCTTAGGGTAAATGACCCTTTCAGTGTCACATCAAATACAACATGCAAGAAAGTGGTATTTACCTTCTTCGATGGAGTTTTTCAGAATAAATTAACAGATATTTCACTCTTAGAAGCTGGTTATTTGTGACCACAAAGTATTTTTGTGGGACATCACCCCCTTCGCTGTTTTTCACCCTCGCTCTTCTTCTGTCAATGCCGCCTGCATCTGGACAAACGAACAGCAAAATAGGCTTGCACCTCAATGGAGAATATACAGAACATTTCATATAATACTGCATAATTGAATATAATAAGGGACAACTGAAAAAAAAACCCACTATCTCCAACATTTCTCTTAAAATAGCGTGGAGGAGTAGGAAATTGCACATCACCTCCACATTGAATTTTTCTTTTGTCTGGAATGTATTGCATACTCACTCTCTGGAGGGACACACCCTGCTTTACCTAATGTCCAGTAAATATTAGTTGCTGGGTTGGTAAGAGCCATGCCTTAGGCATCTCAGGTTTAATTTAAGATAAGTCTAACAGCACATCAGTCATTTTGCTTGTGAACCATGTATCTAATGATTGAAAATAAATAATAATTGCTACCTTTTCCTTTCACTTGACACTTAACATCTGGATGGTCAATTATCTCACAAACAGCGACACAGCTAAGGAGGGGTCCCAATAGGCTCTGGTGCCATCCGTTACCATGAGGGCTGTAGAGAAGTGCCAAACTCAGATCACTGGTCAGGTAGGTTCCTTCACCAAAAAGAGAAGTCTAGAAAGAAAAGAACAACAGTTGAAAGAGACACCACCAAGGTTTCATTTAAATCAAAAACAAAACTAAATTGAGACTTTCACTATCAGTTTTGTTTATGGTATGGGCTGATTCTCTGGTGGATTCCTGGGGGAAGCTACATTGTCAAGATTTGCTGTTCTTGGATCAAACATTAAACTTAGGTCCAATTTGCCTGTATAGGCGGACGTTAAAGATCACATGTGAGGATTCGAAAAGAGAATGGAGTTTTTCCTGGTATCCTGGCCAACAACCTCCAAATAGAATGGTGTCATTCACTTCATGGTTATGGGAACTTACTGTGCGTAAAACCAAGCATAAAGGATGTAGTGAAGAGGAAAGGGTCAACACTGTCTAAGCAACTGCAGATAAAGTGCGGAATAGAGGTGATACACATATTTCTACTCTTCTAATAAGTAGCATAACCTTGCAGCACAACTAAGGTCACGATGCGACCAAACCTACTCAGATTTCTGCCCAATATTTTATTCTCCACTTTTAATGGAAAGTTGCTTTAAATAAACAATGTTCACCACATGCACGGAAGTTACTATGCAAGTCGAATTACTGACCTTGTTGAGGTGACACTGCAGGCCACTGTGAACGATGGAATAAAAGTTCTCAAGCCGGCTTCCGTGAAATGCATAGATAACACCTTGGTCTCCCTTGGTTTCCTCAAACTTGGCATTCATCTGATCACAGTAGATGATCTCAAACAGGTAGTCAGGGACAGCAGCAGTAGATGCGGTGATCCTGGTGAGTTCCTGGATTTCTTCATACTACGTCACAAAGAAAATCACAGAAAGAATATCAAACCACAAATCCTGATTTCGCAATGGTGGGGGGTGGGGGGGGGGGTTGTTAGGTTACAGACTTATTTCACTTCATGCCTCTGATATCTCCCCAAAAGTACTGTTCCCGACCAAACAGCAGTTGGAAAAAACAGACATTTCTAAGTGTTGGTACAACAGCAGTGTTGCAAACTCACCTTTCACGTGGGTGCCTCCTTCCGACATTAAAGGCGTTGTACGAATGTAATTTTGTTGTTGTGGTTCAAGGCACTTGACTTACAAATGCGGCCTGAAAAAAATGGTTAACCGCTTCTTCTTTTCTCTCTTCTCCTACGGTCATCCCTCCTCCACCCCACCCAACCCCAGGTGCCAATTCTAGTCTCGCTTCTTATCAAGTTTGAACAAAGCTTTCGGCGGAGGGGGAAGTGATTCTTACCTCTTCCTTTGGCAGGCTTTTGATGCTCAGATTTTTTGACAAACAGACCCAGCTTAGAAGTTCCAGGGTTCTATCACGTGGGACAATACCAGAATGCAGCAGCTGTTTTAAGTTTGGCAGGTCCTGGGCATCGGCAAGCTACGGAAAGACACAACTTTTAGTTCACAAACAAACGTGACCCCAATGGTGTCCTTTACAACTCCAGTGTCTTCAAGATCAACCGCTTGACAGCAACAAAAAAAAACCCACTAACAAAGCAAACTTTGTTAGGAGTAGGAGCCCGGTTGTTAGTCGGACTGGCGGATCGCTTTGCCAGAAGGCGGGGAGGGGGCAGAAGGAATAGTTCCTTACAAAAAAATGATAACAACAAATTGGGGGTCACTCGATCCACGACTGCTCGTGGGAGGGACGTCGCTGTGCGCGGTCGTCTCGCGCACTGCGCCCGCACGTCGCGCAGTCAACTAAACTAAACTGCACGGCGCGGGACGTCCCGCGAGGCGCTTCGAGACGTCGCGGAGACCCGACGGGTGGGGCGCCCGGGACCCGTTGAACGCAGAGGAAGATTATTAGTGTCATTTGATAGACGATAATAATATTATACGATACATCTCTCCCCACACACACACACACAGGATATCCATTGGGTATAACTCCCCCAAAGGCCCGAGAGAGAGACCCCTGAGGCCTTGGCCCACTCACCAGAGCATCGAAGTCCTTGCTGTCGCGGCTGATGTAGGCGGAGGGGAAGGGCCTGAGCACCGAGTCCCGCCGGTAGCTCTGCAGGGCGGAGACGAAGAGGCTGCACTTGAGGTCGGCGGCCACCAGGTCCCTCCTCAGGTTCCCCTCCACCGCCTCCCCGAGCTGCCGCCGCCGCTGCTGCATCGATAGCCCTTTGGGAAGCGGGACAGGCCGACTGCACCGCACCACCACCACCACCACCCCCCGGCCCGGCCCCGCCCCGCCCCGCCCGCGCTGACAGCACCAAAGGCCGCGGCCGCCCAGGTAACCGTCGACCATCCACCACCGCCGCCGCCGCCGCCGTACACATACGTCACGTCCGCTTCCGGCGCTAGCTCCACCCCCACCGTAACCATGGCTACGCCAAGCCACAAATGCCCCGCCCCTCTCCCCTCAGCTGGAAGCTCTGTGGTAATATATAGTATGGATGGAAATCATTAATATATACACATATATAATAATAATAATAATCATAATCCTCGCATTTGATACAGCGCTTTTCACGTCGGGAGGACGTCCCAAAGCGCTTCACAGAACACACTGTAAAGTGAATTGACTGTATATTTGTGGGCGAACGCGGCGGCCGATTGCGCACAGCAATGTCCCACAAACAGTCGTAGATTGAAAATGACCAATTTATTATTGTTGTTGGTTTTGGAGGATTATTATTAGGCTCTGTGTGGAGTGGACTGCCCAGGTTTCGCCTCTGCTGGAATTGACTCAGGTCTCTCCTCGCAAACGAGTGCTCTAACCACTGAGCTACAGGACTCCACGAGGTATATATCTGTAGATCATCGTACACTCGCTGAAGTTGGTCGTGGACTTTGTGGCCTTTCTTTTTCGGCGGTCGCCGCCCGCCAATAATAACAGTTCCCGATAACGATCACCATGACAACAGCCCTCGCCTTTTGACGCAGCGCCTTATTCGGGTGGTCGAGGCGTCCCAAAACGCTCCCCGCGATCACACGGGTCGGGTTTCGTCCGCTCGCGCGGGTTGTGGGTCGAAAGGCGGCAGCCGATTGCCCACAGCGAGGTCCGTCCGTCCCTCCCTCCCGCCCGCCCGCGCACGGTCGCGGATCGAGTGACCAAATGATTGACTTATTAACCCCGCACAGCGGTGCGCCAGTCGATCATCGCCCGCACCACCGGGTTCCTACTTACTGCTGGGTACGCAGAGGCGTGTGGAGTGAGGAAACTTGCCCAGGGTTTCTCCCCGCCTGGAAAATCTTTATATATATATATATATATAAAGGTATATATCAGCAATCATCCTACAATCACAGAATTCTTCATTCACTTCACGGCTGTTTTCACGCTGTTACTGCGCTCAAATCAGCTGCTGCGTTCGCCCACGAAACACACAGTCACTACACATTGCAGTAAATCCTCCAAATTGCTTGATCCTGTGACAAGGTGCTAATATCAAACACAAGGATGGTCCTTATCATAATTTTACAGCACGTGGGGGTCGTAAAGGGTTTTCAATTCATTACCTCTTGCGGCAATTGCACACGGCAGTGTCCCACAAACAGTCATGGATAAAGTGGCCAAATTTTTAAAAAGGGATTATTACCCCCGGAAAAGCGATCTGCCAATCGACTAACAACCGGGTTCCTACTTACTGCTGGGTAAACAGAGGTGTCCCGGCCACGAATTGAACCCGGGTCCTCTCGCTTGCGAGGCGAGTGCTGTAATTTCTCTCACTTGTTTTTAAGAATAGATAATTATTTGGGGAGTACAGGTTTGCAGGGTTATAGGGAGAGAGGGTGGGAGGGGGGGGAGTGAGATTGAATTGGATAGCTCTTTGCAAAGAGCCGGCACAGACATGGTGGGCCGAATGGCCTCCTTCTGTGCTGTATAATTCTATGATTCTATGATGAATCAATAAGCTGCAGGTCTCAACATTTGGACTAATTGGGGTGGTGGGTGGGGGGGGGGGGGGGGAGGGACTCTGTTTAAGGACCACAAAACCAAAAGATCAATGGAAATGGAGGGAGAGGATATGTCCTTTATATTGCACCCTGCAGTGCTTGTTGCAATCCCCCCTGTAGGCTCTGAGTATCCGCACACACCTTGTCCTCCTGTGCTGTAGGTGCTGTACATACCGTCTTACTTCCTGAGCGATTGACAATAACGTTGGCCCAGGCCCAGGCGGTTGCCTGTGGTAACAGGAGACGCTTTTCTTCTGTGTTGCAGGTCCTGCCGGGTCTCAAAAGCGGCTGCAGTTCGTTCCCATTGATTGGAAAGGAAAATATAAAGGGAGATGTCAGGAATGCTGTCAGTGAGTAGTGCTCAAGTGCTGCTTATTTCTCTTGCAGGCAACAGTACTAGTGCACAGTGAGCGCTAGGCATTTGCTGTTGGATGGAAAACGTAGCCCGTTGATATTGGGGGGAGTGCGTATGTGTTTATAAAACGAGGTTAAATGCATCAATTACAAATGGCTCAGTGAACTCAAAAGTAAAATCATTTTTTTCTTATTTTTAAAATAAAAAAATGCTTTCTGGTGTTTCACACAGGGAGGATTCAGCCTTTATCCCAAACAATGAAGAACAAAGCTAGGTAATAATACTGTAATAATAATCCTTGCATTTGATATAGCGCCTTATCACATTGTTGAGACGTCTCAAAGAGCTTCACAGAATATACTGCAAAGTGGATTGACTGTATATTTTGTGGGCAAAAACGCGGCAGCCAATTGTGCACATCAGTGTCCCACAAACAGTCGTGGATTGAGTGACCAAATTATTATTTTTTTTTAAGCAATTATTATCCCAGGAAAGAGATGCCCCAATCAACTAACAATGCGGTTCCCTATTTACCTGCGAGGTAAACAGAGGCGTGTGGAGTAAGCAAAATTGTGCTGCGTGAGTGCTGCATTGTCAGAGGTATCCTGTTTCAAAAGAGCCATTAAACCGAGTTTCTCATCTGCCTGATCTGTCCAGCATTAAAGATCCTATTTCAAAAGGGAAGAGAGTTTCTCCTGGCAACATGGCATACACGTCCACCAGATGAATTACTTCATGGTTGTTTGTGTGAACCTGCTGGCACAAACGGTTGTGTGTTTACCTACAAAAAACAGTGAGTCCACCTGACAATAATTACCCTTGAAGCTTTGAGTTATTTCTTAACATAGTATTTCTTAAATTGAAGGTACTTACCGGAATTGTCTGAGTTTATCACATTCTCTCCTCCCAATTCCAAGAAAGGACTTCTTCATGTGCAGAGATTCACAAAGTAGATTAAATCGAGCGAGTTACACACTATCCAGAGGATGGGAATGTACAGGGAAACTTCATTTGCGACACATTGTGCATTGTGCAAATTCTGAACGAAAGAACAACAACAACTTGCAATATAGCGCCCTTCACATGGAGCAGCATCTCAGAGCGCTTAATATGGTGAGACACATCTCAAGCCTGCAGAGAAGTTTCCTTAGGAGATATGGCCAAACCCTGTTCAGCTATTTCAGAGCTCAGGATGAACAGCACTGCCAGAAAGTCTGGCCCTAACCACATCGCTGGCAGTTATCAAGCAGGGACTGATAGGAGATCATCCATGCTCACAGACAGTGGGGTCGTCTCAGATTCTTCTGAGGACAAAATCCGGCCACGTTGGTCCACGTTGAAGGAGACAGAGAAAGGGGAGAATGCTGACAGCACAGGGGAGGGGATAACACACAGCGGCAAAGAGAGCCAAGGCAATGTCTCCATTGATCGAAGGATAAATGAAGAACAATGTGCGGAGGGAAAAAGCCCTATAGTGAGGCCGTGCGTACAGTCCAGTCTATTTAGACCAAGACTTCTGATACTTTCCTGCGGAGTTAAGCATTGGGCTGATATAACAGCTGCAGCATGGCCACATGTAACTGTGGTGAGTTACACACACGAGTCTACCACATTGGATTCTATTCTAGCACAAGTCGGTGAGGCTTTAAATGGAAAGAAAGTCAGATCCATTGCCTTTGTGCCTCATAGTCAACAAGATGCGCTTCATATCTGTGGTGCTGGAGAGACCCAGACACTTACACCGCGTTCTGTTCTTGAACACAAAGCTTTACGTAGTTTCTTTCACAACATTGTCACCAGCTACTTGGATGTGAATGATTCAGAAGCAATTCTAGACTTCCTGGGCTGCACTTCCTTACTCTCTGGGGATCTGGAGACCATCCGAAGAGAACTGGAGTCCGTGACAAGTATGTTTTGGATATTCTGATTGCAATGATATTTGTTACGATCATCATGTATGTATAATGTGTTTTGTATATATGCAATATCTTTAGAGACATAAATATAGAGCAGCGTTTATGGTATAGATAATATATAATAATTATAATAATCTTTGCATTTGATATAGCGCTTTATCACATCTTCGAGATGTCTCAAGATGCTTCAAATATATATAATATATATATATTTCAATTAAGCATCTTTGCCTCCTTCAGACTTCTTGTCTTCCTACAGGCTTTCACAAACCCAGACTTGCCATTACCTAACCACTGCTCGACTTGTTTCACTTCTGTCCTACTCTTTCCAACTTTAATGCTGTTTAGTAACAGTGCCTTTTCCCTTCATTTAGGTTTCTCCATTTAAAATAAATTAGTCATTCACTTCATGGTTGTTTGTGGGACATTGCTGTGCACATATTGACTGCCACATTCACCTGCGAAACATGATAAGGCATGATGCGAAATGCAGGATTATTATTATTAATCATAATGTCATTTCTATTCTCAATATTCAGATAGTCTGCCTGTTTTAGGCAATTACCTGAATGTTGAGAATATAATTGGCTTTACTATTAATATTATATCTTCTAGGATAAAACGTTGTTGGTGTTTAGAAATGTGTATAATCCAAATAATTACATTGGAGAGTCTCTTAATCATTTACTTGGATTATCAAAACTTGGGACAATAATTAACTGGAACATTCTGTAATGACAGGCAATAACTAACTAGTTTTTAGCAAAGAAGCTCAGAGAAAGAACTTTCATTAACACAGAGCTCATTGCAATGTTGTAATTGTGGCATTTCTGTTCAACATTGCATTTAGTGCAGTGTTAATGAAAGAACATTATAGCATGGAAACAGGCAATTCAGCCCAACTAGTCCATGACCATTTCCCTCTTAATCCCCTCTCCTCCACCCCTCTCACCTCGTTTCCCTCACACAGTCACAACATTTTCTCTTAAACACATTGATTATTTCTGCTTCAATGAGAGCTTCTGGCAATGAGTTCCTCATTCTCACCAGTCTCTTTAGAAATAAGTTCTTCCTAAACTCCCTTTTAGATCTGCTACTTTCTTACTTTACCATTCTGATCAGTTCCCAACAAGTGTTTGTTTTTTTTAGTGGATATTCTCTCTACTTTAGTTCTATCTCTGTTTTAGCAGTCTGTGCGGATGCTTGATAAACATATTCTGAAAACCCAATGGGATAATTAATCAGGATTTAATGAACTTTTCCCCCACTACAATTGTCTCACAATGCAATGCTCTGTCTTGATCACTTACAAACATAATTCCCCACTGATTTCAGTCCAGATGAAATATCTGGAGAGCCAAACATAATAATCAATTCATACAGAATGGTCACATTCAGGAACCTCTGTTTGACCATTAGCTTAACAGCCTACAGATACCTTCTGTTTCAAGAATACCAAAAACGCTTCCCATATTGGTTAGAATTAATGACTGATCTGAGCTAATGATTATTTTACTCCACTGTAAACTCTTAACACCCTTTGAGCTATTTGTCCTCGACTTTCACAGGGTGTGTTGGTCCATGTTTATGTTTGAACCAAAGCCATTCAGCTCAGCACATAATAGACAGAAGGGTGGGAGGAATTCACTGTGCGCATTTGATAGCAGGGAGTCATCAACATGCAACTGAACAAATACAGTAAGACACTTAATGTTTGAGATCATTAATAATCAAAATACATGACTGTCAGATTACTGTATGTTTAGTTCCCAACAGTCAGACTGGACTCTGCATTAGTTCATGTGTACAAGGGCATGAATTGTGGGAAAAATGATAGTAAGGGAGGGGAAAAAGCACAGATTAGTATAAGTGATCCAGTCACTGAACACTACTGTACTCATTGAATGTTATTCCCATTGTTGGAGTTACATGGAGGGTCTCCGTCAATTGGTTTTGAACGTGTGCAGAAGCACCATTTTACGGTGAAACTGGATAATGGAATCAGCTGAAGGTAACATAACTGGGTTTACCCCATAATGTTCTGGAAGTGGATCTTCAAAATGCCCTGTGGTTAAGGTCAGGGCTGCACTCCAGCACACACATCCACCACCACAAAAATCCAGTGTCTTTAATAGCAAATAGGAGGTTTGTGCAGAGCTTAGTATATGAAGAGTAGCCATGCAGTTTGTCCAGGATAGCATATAGTGTTTGTTGTGTATGTGTGTGTATTGGGGGTTGGGTGGGTGGGGGAGAGAGAGGGCGCGAATGCAGGAGTTTATGATGTCTGTAGTAGGATGGGTGGTTGTATATGTAATGAGTGACCAGATATTTGATTAGACTTCTACTGAAAGATAACTAAGGTGTGTCTTCCTCTCCACAGGTGTCCCGGTGTCCATGGCGAGAGACGTATTGGGGAGCGAGCTACAGGCAGCTCCGGATCAGGATGGGACAAAGCTCCACATATTGGACCTTTACTGTGACAAACTGAAGCAGCCCCACTCTCAAACCCTGGCAGAGTTTGAGAAGATACACACAGTGGGAAAAGGTGAGGTGGGAATGAGAAGCGACATTGAGGCACTATATCAAATGCAAGGATTATTATTATTATTATATTATTACCAAATGCTTGTGCGCAGTTCATTCAAATACGTGTTTAGTGAATTGTGTAAAGAGTAGTGTTTCTGTTGCCTGAGAGCAGGTGTCTGATATCGCCTGTGTCCTTGATGTGTCAGGGGCCTACGGGACGGCTGTTTTGTATCGGAAGAAGGACGATGATTCACTGGTTATACTGAAAGAGATCAACATGCACGAGTTGAACCACATTGAGAGACAGAGGGCAATGAACGAGGTTAGCGTTTAGCTCCAATAGATTGAAACTAACCTGGTCATGTCATTACACTGCTGGCGTGCCAGTGGGTGATGCCAAGTGATAGAAGGAGATGCTGCATTTGGTGTGATTTCTATCTGGATTTGACTGTGTTATACAGCATTAGGGTGATTTTAATCCATTATAAAGTCTGTTAACCTTTTACATTCAGCTTTTGGCTTTCCTGTTGTTGCCTATTATCTCTTGCAAAATGCTGCCCTTTCATTCTTGGAAGGAAAATAAATAAGATGCATTTAGCTTCATACGTTTGCAAACACTCACCAATTTAACTGTGATTAAAATCCCATGTCGACTTCAACCACCTCCAGGGACCATATCACCTATTATATATAGTGGTGCCCAATATCATTCCCTTGATCTCTGAGCATGTACTCCCTACCCTGATGCTGCAGTTCAGTGTGAGCGAATGTGCAGAGGCCTTAAGGTCCTGTTGTGAGTGACTGTGTGAGTGAGCCAGCCTCTGACCTACATGTTTGTTCTGGCTGCTGCTGTAGGTGAAGGTGCTTTCCATGTTAGACCATCCCAATATTATCAGCTACTACGACAGCTTCGAGGAGGAAGGCTTGCTGATGATTGAAATGGAATATGCTGACGGAGGAACCCTGGCACAGTACCTGGCACAGCAGGTAATAATATGATATAAGAAGGTATTTACCAAGCGGCATGTTTAGAGGGGAGAGCTCCGACAGACATTTGCCAAATATAGTTTTTCACAGTCAATCCACTTCACGGGATATCCTGTGAAGTGCTTTGAGATGCCTTGATGATGTAATAAGACTATATCAAATGCAAGAATTATTATTATGATTAAGCAAGAGTACTACCAACTGAGCCAGGCTGACCCCTGAAATGGGTGTTTCAAGACATACTTGAAAAGAGTTAAATGTGGTAAAACATGCGTTTCCGCACTGTTGTGTGAGAGCCTGATTGATGTCTGTGTGTGACAGGACGGGGAGTTGGAGGAACGGGATATACTCAATCTCTTTCACCAGATGGTGGCCGCCATCTCCTACTTGCACGAACACAATGTGTTGCATCGAGACCTGAAAACAGCAAACATCTTCCTCACCAAAGACAGCGAGGTGAAGCTCGGCGATTTCGGGGTGGCTAAGGTGATGTCAACAGGAAGCGAGGCACACACTATTTTAGGTAAGGGTGTTGCTTGCCTCTGAGAAATGGGTTGAGGACGAGTTGGATGGGGCACAGTGGAAGCAGATTAGATGCTACATTCTAGGTATCAGAGGTTGGTGTAGGGTAGATACAGGTAGGATCGAGGCACCAAGTCAGATATAAAAGGAATAGACAGGTAGAGCTATGAATACAGTGTACATATAGGTTGGATTATGGTAAACAGTGTGGTTTTAGCTCGTTAATCTCTAACACTAACCCCAGTGCACACTCTGGAGTATCCAAATCTTGGTTCTTGCCTCCCTGCACCTAAATTCTTCAGAATTGGGTAAGCAGGGAGCATCCCTTTGAGGAGAGAGTAATGCAATCCAAACCAGATAAACCACACACATGTGGAACTCCCAATAGTTTGGTTTAGAGACAGGGAGGGAAAGGAAGGTTCGCTGAGGATACAGGTGGGTTGTAGTTATGGTGGTCCATGTGCAGTGTGAATTACACAGATGATGAATGTCTCTCCATGTTATTGAGGAGGATTAATCAGGTGGAGACTTTGTACCTGACAGGTACTCCCTATTACATCTCACCGGAGATCTGTGAAGGAAAGTGCTACAATGAGAAATCAGACATCTGGTCACTTGGCTGCATTCTTTACGAGATGGCCTGTCGTCGACGCACGTTCGAAGGTAAAGGGCCACAAAAATATCGACTCATTGTAACTTAAGAAAGTGCTTGAGGTAAAATAGAGAGGGGAGTTTCTTTCGGTGTCCTGGACAACAATCCCCCGGTAAAATTGGTCATTCAATTTATGGCTGTTTGTGGACCTTGCTGTGCACAGTTTAGCTACCACATTCTCCTACAACATACAGTCACTCCACTTTACAGTAAGTTCTGTGAAGCGCTTTGAGACATCCTCCCAACGTGAAAGGCGCTGTATCAAATGTCAGGATTATTATTATGACAAATGAGGTAGACATGAAAAAGACTGGAGTAAAGTAAAAATGTTATAATGTGTGTTGAATATAATGTCAGAGCTCCCCCCAGTGCCCCAGTGGATAAAACTCACCACAAAATGAAGCATTGTGTCAAGCATATGAAGGCTTTCGGTTAAAATTCTGATTGCAAGATCACAATAGAGGTGCAGGTAATAAGGGCCCTTTCACCCATTTGATCTCTTTCTCCCAATTGCTGTGCGCAATTGGCTGCCGCGTTTCTCCCACAAAATATACAGTCAACTCACTTTTCAGTGTATTCCGTAAAGCCCTCTGAGACATCTCAACGACATGATAAGGCGGTATATCAAACGCAGGATACTTTCTTCTTCTCACAGGCACTAACCTGCCAGCGGTCGTGAACAAAATCATGAAGGGGCAATTTGCTCCGATCACTGACAGGTACAGCCCTGAGTTGAAAGCGCTTGTGACGGACATGCTGCAGAAGGAACCTCAGTAAGTAGTAAACTCTTCCACCTCCTTGGGACATCCTCCTGACTTGAAAGGCGCTGTACAAATGTAACTTGTTGCAGATGGTCAGGAAGGAAAAGATGTTCCCACAAACCGGGTAACTCACCAGCTTTAAATTTCTCACCTGTTCTGTGACCCGGGTTAGGTACCGTCCTGCTGCTCACGAGCTGCTGTACGTTCGCATCCCCGAAGCCTTGGTGAAATACAAAGAAACTCCAGACGAGGAGGCAGGAGCTGGGATCAGTGACCCTCAACCTCACCCGAATCACAAGCGAAACAGGCGCTCGGCTCTTTATCACCTTCACGTGCCTGACCTGGAACTTTGCCCGATTGAGGGGTTCCCCACAAAGATCAGAATCACACAGGTAGGTGCGATCCAAACATTGTTTTCAGAGTTTATAAAAACAGCAAAATAATTTGGCCCGTTGGGACTGGTTTGTGGGACACCGCTGTGTGCACAGATTCGCTGCTGCGTTCACCTACAAAATAAAGTGATTGCACTTTACAAAAAAATCTGTGAAGCACTTTGAGATGTCCTGATGTGACACTTGCTTGTATTTTGATATACTGAGGGGCTATATCAAGTGCACGGAATATTATTGTTTTCTTTTGTTGATAATGACTCTCTTTTTTAATCTTAAAGATATCCTGAACTGTGACTCTCCGAAAGGTTGGTTGGTTTCTTGCTATTCCTCAGCTCTGCACCATCAGAGGTCATGACAACCCTTAACTTGATCTTCCATGTGGTTTTTTTGCTGGTGGTGCAGATGTGTTCGTTCGCTCCTTTCACCACTAGAGGGTGGGTTGATTCCCTTTGACACCAAACACAATACCAATGCGTTCAGTCAGTCATGAGCCCCTTTCACCACGAGAGAGAGCGCTGTCTCCATTTAAATCCATTCACTGCCACTGTATTCAGTCAGATCAGTGATGGGCACAATCTGTGCTTTATACAGGAGACTGAGAGCTGCATACATGCCACCTACATATGGAAAAAGCCTTCACACAGCCTCCTGACCCTAAGGAGAGAACTGCAAGATCCCTGAACTAAGACTATGGGCTAAATTCCCAAATAGACCTGACAATTCGGATCTAAGAAAGACCAACGTGAGCGGATAAACTTGCTTCTGGATCAAGATTTTTTTTTGGTCAGCTGGGTGTCTGGTACATGCGGAAACCCATCACCGTGCTTAAGAGTATCCGAACCAAACTGAGAATTACTTGCATCCCACCTGCAAGTGGAAATCCCGGAGAGAGATTGTTGGAATGGAATGTGCGTTCTCTCTCTCTCCCTGGAGGGCCACATACTGCTTACCTGATTTCGGAAAGCATTAGGCGCAGGTTGACAAAAGCCAAGGTTTTGGGATCTCAGAGTGTGCATTGGGGTAACTGCTGGAGGACAAGATGAAGATACAGGGGAGAAGGTGCCACTTGAGAAACACAGTCAATAAGCAGAATATGTGCATCTGAGAAATGTCTCTCTGGATCTACCCTCATGTGAAAGTGTCTCAGGATTAACACTGAAATGTGCACAACAAGAGGAGGAACATTCCAGAACAGTGCAAGGGACTCCCTCCCTCCCTCGCAACCCGAAGCAGCAAAAACAAACCAACGCGCTTGATGCAAAACTCAAGATATTTCCCTGATAAGAATGCAGCAACATCAATGAGCATCACAACAAAAGGGAAAACCTCCGAAGAGAGAGATGGATCAAAGAATTTTCCAGGAAAATAGTATTACAAAGCAAAACTCCGACAATGAAGGAAGGGTGTGAAGATTAATGATGCAACCCCTGGCCAAGGCAAACAATCTACAGAGAGAAAACCTCCTGCTCGCTTGTCAATCGAGGGATTAGCTCCCAGCTGGAGACGTGCAGTTACACAATAGGATGCATGAGCGAGGTTCTCTCTCTCTCTCCTTCTCTCTCTCATCCCCAACCCGCACATCCCGGCATTTATAATTTCTCCATATTAGATTGTGGATTGAGTGACACAATTATTGATATATATATATTTTTTGAAGGGATTATTACTCCCAGAAAGTGATCCGCCCATCAACTAACTGAGGCGACCGTTTTAAAGCACAGCCTCACCACCAAGTGGACATGACCTGTTCATCATTGTCACTGGCTAAATCCACCACATTGCCAATGCTCCTAAACCATTAGCTCACAGAAGATACTGACCACCTCAATCACTCAGGAGCTGCAAGGACTTGTACTGACCAGCCTTAGCCTAACTGAAGCAAGAGAGAGAGAGTAAGAGGCAGCTGGGCTTCAGCTAAGTGAGGTCTGAGAGTGAGCGACAAGTTTCATACTCAACTCTGACTGACTGAATAAAAGGATTGTAAGTGCGAGAGAGAGAGGGGTATATCCCTAGGGCTCTAACATAACTTTCTGGTTGGATGCAGAGACCTCTGTTATTGAGCTGCTGATCTGGCCTCAGGGTCAAGATATTTTTTATTAAGACACTATGAAAATGCATTGTCATATTGGAGCCTGGATTATTTTATTGTCACTGGCCTTTTACCCTCACCCATCACGATGTTGGGGACAAAGGATTTTACTCTGGGAAATGCAGCCGGGAGTGGGGCAAGGGTTAAATACATTAGTTCCAGTTTTGCCTGTTCTGCAAAGATCAGGTCCTCAAAACCTAAGAGAACAGTAAAGATGGTGTCCGTACTGTGATCTATCACCCTTAATGATTTATCGCTGAGATTGAACAGGTTTTAGGATTGAATCTGAAGAATTTATAAAATTAGCTGGGTTTATTTATGCTTACGTTGGCCATCATGTGTTTTCGAGCTGGAGAATATTGGGGGAATCTTAATAGGAATCTGTCTTGGATGCTAAACACAAATGATGTGTAAGATGGGGGAGGGAGGGAATTCACAACTCAAACCTGCTTAAAGGATAACATTGCTCAATCAGTCTATCCTGTTGTGGATAATGTATTGATCTAATTCCCTTACTGTTTCCCTTTAATGTTTTTTCTCACATATCTATTCCTCCCAAGGATTATTATTATTTATTCCATTCATTTTTAAGTGTTATTATTGACTAAGCTTCAACAGCCATTTGCCATATTCTAACAACGTTCTGTGAGAAAAAAGATCTTCTAACCTTCATGAAACTATTTAAAATCAGTCATTCATTTCATGGATGTTTGTGTTGCATTACTATGCACAAATTCACCTACAAATACAATACACATTCACTACAATTTATAGTAAATTCTGTGAAGTTCTTTGAGACGTCCTTCTGGTGTGAATAGCTCACAGAGAGACTGACATAACCTGCAGGCGGTGTGAGGCTGTGAGGCATAGTTTATTAATATTTTATTGCACTGATCCTTTGATATAAGTAGTTATTTCAAAGCACAGGCATGGGGAATTGGATAGAGCTTGCTGGCCTTTTCCAGATAAATAGTCGTATTAAAAGTACAATAAAACATTAAAATCATTTCCCATTTGAAAGGTCGTACAATAGGCAACTGCACAAAGGCCAGCATCGCCTTTTAAATATGTAGATAATAATTTTGCCGATTGCTCTGTGCATCGCAAATGCCCTTTTAACAGATGCATCTAATAAGTCAGGTCTCAACCTTTACATTTCACAACACCAGCAATTTATTAACACTCCTATATTTGCTTGGGAGCTTACGATGAAAGCTGTTCTTTTCCAGAGTCCCCTTTATCCAATGTGTTTGATTCCCGTTGTGTGCGTGCCTGCTGCAGCAGTCTTAACATTTTTTAAATATATATTAAAACGTTTTTATGAAATATTGTCTGAAGGTGGGGTGGGGTGGAGCGAGAATATACAAAGAGCTGGATTCTGATGCAGGCCCCCTTTCTGTCTCTGTGATATCCAGTTATGGTTTTGCCCACAAAACATACAGTCAATTCACTTTGCAGTATATTCTGTGAAGCGCTTTGTGACGTCTCAAAGAAGTGATAAGGTGCTTTATCAAATACAAGGATCAGAATTATTATTATGGTTAGGATTAGCTCCATATCAAGGTTCTTACCATACTCAACAGAGTTGGGGCCCTATAGTTCTTAAATTGACAAAGTTTGATGACTAATACTTTCTTTTCGAAAACCACGACATCTCTTTCCCTTCCGTCTCCTTTTCCCATTGCCGCGGCAGGTTGCTGTGAGTGATGGCCACACGGTGGCAGTGGGGATGGAGAGAGCAGTGTACACGTGGGGGAGGAACCGGAAAGGACAGCTCGGTCACGGAGATCTGCAGTCACGCTCGCGGCCACAGCTGGTGGATGCACTGAAAGGAAAAGCCATCGTCAGGTATTAACGAGTAGAATCCTGTACCTTAGTGGTTAGAGCGCTCGCCTCGCAAGCCAGAGGACCTGGGTTCGATTCTCGGGCAGGGCGAATGGTTAGGCAAGTTTCCTTACTCCACTCCACCAGTAATCAACTGACCACAGTCAGCAGTGGTCAGTTAAGGGTTTGCGCCTGAGCCGAGGGTTGAAATCAAGAGGGTTATTACGGTAAACGCTTTGAGACGCCGTCCGACGTGAAGGTGCTGTAGAAATGCAAGTTGTTGTTGTTGGAGGGTAGGGGGAGTGGGGTTTGGAGTCGGGCCGAAGGCACGGTCAAAGAGTCTCAAAGTTATTAAGATCCTTAGGTCACTCTGTTAACCATTTGCCTTTGCCTTCACTTGCAGGGCCTGTTGTGGAGATGTGTTCAGTGTGTTTCTCAGTGACAATGGCATTGTGATGACCTGCGGTGACGGATCCCAAGGCTGCCTGGGACACGGGGACCTCTGCAGCACCTCCAGGCCTTGTCTGATCGAAGCCCTTCTCAGTGTAAACGTGCAGGACATTGCCTGTGGCCTGCAACACGTGGTGTGTGTCGATGGTGATGGGGAGGCAAGTCATTCGTTTACAACACATCTTTTTGTTTAAAAAAAAGTTTTGCTTATTTGTATTTATATTTACCAGAAAGGATATTTCTGTTTATATTTTTTAACAGGAGCTGACTCTCCTCACCCCACACTCAGCTCCTGTTAAAACTGCAAGCCAAAGGTGTAGTGTGGTTCTAGCTTCACATGCAGAGAGAAGTGTAGTTGATTTATATATGATTTTGATACTCTTAAGGATGCTGGTGGGTTTCCACATGTCCAAAACACAATCAGGGCTAACTTGGTGTACATTGGTGTACGTATCCAGAGATACAAACAACATAGTCAGCCCATTTTACAGTATATTCTGTGAAGCGCTTTGCTTCCCGTGTCTCGATGACGTGATAAGGCGCTATATCAAATACAAGTATTATTATTACTATTATTCTTCCCCTTTCTGAGGCTGATAATTAGGAACACCGTTGCTGTCTCTATAGCTTACACTCACCAAGGTAACGTCCTTCAGAGAGAGAATTGGAGGAGGAAGTTATGGTTTGAAAGAAGTTTTTTTTTAAACATTTCTCTTTCTAAAAACATCCGATCTTGATGGAGATTCTTTACCACATTCTTGCTGTCCAGGTGTTTTCCTGGGGCAATGGGAGACATGGAAAGCTGGGGCTTGGGAATGAGGATGATCACTGTGTGCCAGTGAAGGTGGCCTTTGAGGAACAGGTCTTCATAAGAGATGTGCGCAGTGGATCTGATGGAACCATGTTCTTAACAGGTACCTGTTTAATGGCGCAAAACCTGTAGCTGACAGTTCATTTACTGTTTCCATCAAAATGAAAGATATAATGCACAACTCTCCATTCTGAATCTTAAACAAGTTATTTGTGATGTGTGAAAATCAATTGTTTTCTGTTGTTATTTTTCACTAATTATAAAAAAAAGTTTCAAAATATGCAATTGGCTGCCACGTTTCGCCCACAAAATATACAGTCACTTCACTTGACAGTGTATTCTGTGAAGCACTTTGAGACATTACAATGTCATGATATCAAATGCAAGCATTATTATTATTTGGTCAGGTACAGGGCTCACTATTTTTTCAATTAGTTAATGGCTCTCGCACTAAAAGTTCAACTGCAAAATACTCCCAGCCCTTCAGCCTTTAATTGTCCTGGCTCAGTTGTTCTGAAACTTGTTTTGTGCCCTTCAGATACTGGCAGTGTCTTGGCCTGTGGTAACAATCAATACAATAAACTGGGTCTGAATGAGAGACGGGGCCTTCTCATGCAGATGACAACACTGTTTGCACGAGTAAGTACTCTTTGTTATATTGCCCACAAGTGACCGTTTTTATTCTGTGATCCTGGAGAGAAAGAGAGAGTTTATGGCTTTGAGAGGAGAGGAGGAGAGGAGGAGGGGATGAAGGAAATTACTCATCACCTCCATCCCCCTCTGCACTGAATTCCCACTCTCACCAAATTTCTTCCCCCACCCCCACCCTCACTCATGGCACAGTAGACATGTTAACTAAACTACCATCAAAAACACTTAGTATTGGGGTCTGCCACTCCCCAGTTGTGAAAAGATCTTCTTGTTGCTTGTTGTTGACATTGCAGTGTAGGGTCGGCACTCCCACCAGACAACTCTAACAATTGTTCAGCTTCACCACTGCGCTGTCAATCATTTGATTTTGCATCAGTGTTTGTTTCAGAGTTTACCCTTAACAGTGGATTCACACCCGGAACTCGAAACATGACCGATTTCTGTTCTCTTCCCCTCTGTAGACTGATGTTGAAGGTAGGAAGGTCCCCACAATCGTAAAGGCATTGAGGCACCATCGTGTGAGAGACGCGGTCCTCGGCCCATCTCACAGCATTGTCCTGGTGGAGCCCGGCCTTCTGTTTACCTTCGGGAAGAACACAGAGGGACAGCTTGGCACTGCCAACACCAAAGCGTATAAAGTACCAGTGCATGTGAAGGAGCTCCAGGATAAAACGTTAACTGTGAGTGATGATACAACCATTAATGTATTTCATACACTGAACTCTAACTGTTGCAAATGAGTCTTTGTTTCAAGATCAGTAATATCTTACAAAAACCTTTGGTTGATGGTAGTGAATCTTTATTTGGTGAGTTACCAGATCTCAGTCAGGTCAGCAGTTTAGGATGTGGGCAAGAGTTGTCTTCAGTAGCCCTCAGTTACGATTGGAAAATCATCCTCCTAACTTTTAAATTTCTTTCCTTCCCCTCTCTCACTCAAGACACTTGGTTGCGGAGAGACATTTAGCGTTGTTGGGGCTGATGATAATTCCATCCTCTTCTGGGGAACCAAGCACAGATCTGCAGGATCGACAGATCAGCTGGGCCTGACCGCTGTGAATCAAGCAGCCACAGAGGTAGCAGGAGCTCCAGTCTGCCCACCCAAAGCCGAGGAGCCCAGTGTGAGGCCAGGCAACTCCACTGCGAGGAACAAAGACACTGACAGTGAAAATCATAAAAAGGAGCAAGTTGGAACCAGCCTGGGAAAAGAATCGAAGCAAGCTGGAGAGGGAAACTTGGATGCACAAGAATCATCTTCGTTGATTCCTGCAGCACAGGTATATTAATTTACATGTTATGCATATATATATTCCTTACATTTGATAAAGCGCCTTATCACATCATTGAGATATCTCAAAGCGCTTCACAGAACATACTTTAAAGTGAATTGCCTGTGCATTTTGTGGTCGAAACGCGGCAGCCAACATCTATATTGTTTCAACGGTAAGTTTTTACTCTTCTGGTTTTGTTGCAGAGAGTGTCCAAGCCAGACTCACTGGAAGAACATGTCACGTACATGAACTCAATGTCTGTGAAAGGTAAGGTAAAGGCTTCGAGTATCCGTTGAATTAAGTTTTTATTTTTGGAGACTGATCTCAGTCTTTCCTTAAGTAATTAGCTAAAATATATATTCATCAGTTATTAGATATATTGTTTCCTTAGATATATCGTCAAACATTCCTTCCTTCTCACTACAAAGATATTATAAATAGCTCCAGGTGCAAATCTATGGCTAATTAACAGTACTGGGGTGGTCAAGCCATGACACAGTGTGTTCTTTCATACAATGTAACATTGTCTATGTGACAATATATTATAATAATAATAATAATCCTCGCATTTGATATAGCGCTTTTCACTTCGGGAGAACGTCCCAAAGCGCTTCACAGAATATACTGTCAAGTGAATTGACTGTATATTTGTGGGCGAATGCGGCAGCCAATTGCGCACAGCAATGTCCCACAAACAGTCATCGATTGAAAATGACCAATTTATTATTATTGTTTTGTTTCTTTGGAGGGATTATTATTATCAGGCATGTGGAGTAAGGAAACTTGCCCAAGGTTTCGCCCTCTGCCTGGAATTGAACTCGGGTCTCTCGCTTGCAAAGCGAATGCTCTAACCACTGAGCTACAGGACTCCATATTCTTCCTGAGAACCACACAGATTTACAGCAGAGAAGGAGGTTATTTGTCTCATCGTACGTGGGCCGACTCTATAAAAGGAGTAATCCGTTCAGTCCTATTTACCTGCTTTCCCAACCTCCCTTATATCCCGGCTAATTGCGCTCATCTTATCCTCGTAATGTAACGTTGTTCATGTGACACTGTAACTATCCACGAAACTTACTGTGTTCTTGAGACAATGTATAATATTCTCACTTGAAACGTGATAATAATCACGAGAGAGTGTATTTTTTTTGAATGAAAATAGGAACATTGTTAATGAAAAAGTGTATCCCTCCCTGTAGCGCAACACTGAGATCTGTTAAATTGTAGCAGCTCACTTCACACAAGTCCTACCGATGGCGAGGTCCATGGCCTTTTGCTTCTCGTTTGCCCAACACCAGGTACTCTTGAGCAAGTTGGTGGTTAACATGGCTGTTCGATTACTGTTTCAGACCCAATGGAAACCAGACTGGCCAATTGTAAGTCTGAGAGCAAGGATGTCCGAGACCTGGGCAGGTCCAAGGTGTTTGGGAGTCAGATCAGCTTCCAAGACCGAGAAGCCATCCAGCAGCTCGTACCGACCCTTCTCGTGTCTCTGAAGCAGGTTCTGCAGGAGAGCAGCGATACACACGCTCCCACTCTGCGGACTGTTATCTGCAACAAGGAGAACATCTTTGTCCTTGTTGAGCACTCTCTCCCCTTGTCCCACAAGAGGGTCAGGAAACATCGGAATTTCCGGAGGCGCGGAGGCCGGGAATACACCGAGCAGCAACTGGGACACAATCTTCACTACTCCCACTCCAGCAACGATGCCGGTGATGAGTACACCAGCTCGGAGATGTCGGAGCTGGAGACCGGCAGGCTGATGCCAACGTGGATACGGAATGAACTCAGTGACGCAGCCCCGATCGAAGTGGGCACTGTCCCACAGGGGAATGAGCCAGAGCTGATCGCGGGTGAGGATCGTGGAAGAGTAAAGGAGGTGGAAGCTGCAGGTGTTGTGGAGAGTACGGAAGCTGTCGTCAGCACAGAGAGCAATGCAGCCACAAAGGAGCTGGAGATGGTAGGAGTGAAACACGAGCGAACGGCTCTTTACTCCTAAGTATGTTGAGCAATTGTGGTAGTTGGGTGTGGACAAGGTGGTCTCAGCTGCGATGACCCCTTTTCCACCCTCCCTGTGGGGATCACACACATTAAAATTATATTACTTTTACATGCTGCAAAAGTTCACCTAAGAATAATGGAAAGTTGGGAGAGATTTCAGAAGGCATTTGGCATCAATAGAACAATTCCCTTGTAAAAAGAATGAGACTTTGTAAAATTGTGTTTTTACTGATCTGCTCTTCGAACTTCCCTCCCCCCATACCCCCATCTCCGAGACTCTGCTCTGCATGAAGGGCGCCATATAAGTGCAAGTTGTTGTTGTTCTTGTTGTACGCAGAGCTCCACCAGTGCAGTGAGAGCCCACGGAAGGAAGCTCCCTGAAGCCACATGCAAATCTGGAATCCTGAGAACTAAAGTGACTGGGAGCCATCGGGCACATACCAGACTGAGGTCCGAGAGGGGGCACAGCAAGAGCACAGGTGTGGTAGTCTTGTCTTTCATCACTCCCCCCCCACCCCCACATCCTCTCTCCTCCCCACCACATCCCCTCTCCTCCCTCCCCCCACATCCCCTCCTCTTTGTCCTCCACATCCAATCTCAAAACCATTCTGGGTGAGAGCAGTTTCTGATGTGAGCAACATTGCTCGGAGTTAATGACCTGGGCATAAACACATGGGGCTGATAAGCTGCAAAGCCACTAAACTCATCCCAGGTTTATGGTTTGTGGTAAAGAAGGTTAACCACGGCCATAACTTGCCTTTGCAAGATTCAATGGCTGCACTTTAATATTTCAACACCCCTTATAGAAGTATTAGGAAAGCAGTATGTTGCTCTTTTTGTCACACACGGTTTGAATAGAGTTGGTTTCGCTGGGTCAGCACCTAATGTAAGGGCAATAAGTCGCCCAAGGCAAGCTCATTGCTCAGTTTGCTGGTGTAAATGTATGGTCTAGTCTAAACGGTGCCTGTTTATTGTTGTTCGAGGTCCCTGGGTGAGCTCCCCACCTTCTTCCGTCAACACGTCAAAACACTTCCACCACCCAGCTCTCACTGAATCTTCCCTCTCCAAGAATAAGGTTAGAAAAAAATCTCTTCCCCTCCTCCTCCTCTTCCCCACGCAGATACCTGCTCAGCTTAATTAGCTTCAGGTCAAAAGGAAATGAATTTGTCTTTTTAATGTGCTCTCTGCAGGATTACGATCTAATTGCGGTTTAATTGAGTCTAATCTGCATATGTATGAGCGCCTAATAGAATATTAATTCTGCAAAGTGTTTTTTAATATCCTTTGCTGGAGGAATGTTTGGGTAGAAATTTCACCTGGATTCCGGATTTGCTCTGTTAACGGAGCATTTCAGAGCATGTGGCAAATTATTAAACACTGCCTTAGGTTTGAAGTTTTTGCTTCTCTGTAACTTTCTTTTAAGAACCGCAGAAAAACCAGCTTCAAAAAGCAAGAAAATCTGCCAAATTGGATGCTTTGAAATGCTATGTTAATAATGTCCAGACCCTGGTTGCGGAATTTTTCCCGTTATTTTTGATGCTTTCTCACACGTTTGTGAATAAGACTGTTCTGTTTGTTTAAGAAAAATATAATTTCTCAAGCTTATTGATTCCCCCCAACACCCCCTTCCCCTTTCTCTCCCTCTTCTCCTCTGCCTCAGGACAGACTTAAACACGTTGTATGAAGAGTTAATTAGTGAGCACACACTGCAATTAAATACAAGCTCCTCAGCCCCTTGAGTAGTGGGATCTAAACTGACCTTAATCTGGACAAAAGGCAGAATATTCTAACAAGATATGACGTGCTGTGCTGTGTGGCATTTGATTGAGTCAGCAGAGATAATCATATTCCTAGCAATAATTAAATATTATGAGCTTTATTTGCAGGATTTTCTTCCGAATTAATAAAAATAATAATCCTTGCATTTAATAAGTATATTTGATAAGTATATATATATATACTTTATCACGTTGTGTGTATATATATATGTGCTTTATATATATGCTTTATATATGCACATATATATAATAATATATAATAATCCTTGCATTTGATATAGCGCTTTTCACGTCTTCTAGACGTCTCAAAGCGCTTCACAGAATATACTGTAAAATGAATTGACTGTATATTTGTGGGCGAACGTGGCAGCCAATTGCGCACAGCAATGTTCCACAAACAGTCGTAGATTGAAAATGACCAATTTATTATTGTTTTGTTTTGGAGGGATTATTATTATTATATGGTCCTGACCCCTGACAGTCCAGCGCCTTGGTATGTCCTCCCGATATGAAAGGCGCTCTATAAATGTAATTTTGCTGTTGTTGTTGAGATGTCTCAAAGCAAGTGAATTGGCCATGTATTTTGAGGGCGAAAAACCTTTAATCATTTTAATTAAAACATTTAATCATTGATAGTCCCGGGAAACAATGAAAGGATTCTGTAGGGTTCCTTCATACGGGTTAAGACTGTGGTACTCCCCCTTTTGAACACACACCCACTTCAGGGGCTTGTTCCATTAGAGGCAATGATTCCAATCCATGTTTTTAACATTGCTTTTGCAATTGGTTCTTCCCTTGGGGGATTACAGAGAGATTGTAAGAATGGTAAATTCTAATCACATCCAACAAATGTCAGCATAATTCCCAAAACACAGCATTTCTGAAAATATAAAATAATAGAAACGAGTGGTCCAATCTTTCCCCCCTTTTTTTCCCCCTTTCCTGTAGAACACTGATCTGTCCAGAGTGGCAAAGCAGGTGCTTGAGGGAAAGCAGAGAGAGGAGGAGAGCATTCAACAGCAAGAGGAGAAGCAGAAGAGCCTGGAAGTCCTGCATGAGCAGCAGAGATCCGCGATGGTAAGAGACGCCCACGTAAACCTAAGAAAAACTTTGTTCTTCAGCAGCCTTAATAATATCACTGACTTCCCTTCCCCAAGGACATATGGGAAAGGACACTGCAGGAGAATCATAGGAACAGAAGTAGGCCATTCAGCCCCTTGAACCTGTTCCGCCATGCTATAAGATCATGGCTGATCTGTACCTCGACTCCAATTACCCCGTGCCTTTGCTCCATATCCCTTGATACCCTGACCAAGCAAAAATCGATCCAGCTCAGTCTTGAAAATGTGAATGGATCCAGCATCCACAGCCTTTTGGGGGAGAGAGATCCAGATTTCCACTACCCCTTGTGTGAAAAGAATGCTTCCTGATTTCACTCCTAAATGGTCTAGCTCCAGATGATGCCCCCCTTGTTCCGGATTCCCCCCCGCAGAGGAGACTCCTGCCCTCCCCACCGTGACAGCTAGGGGGCAGCAAACCTCAGTAGAGCACTTTGTTTCCCATGGCACAGAGAAGGAATTTCAGGCCACCACATTAAGGATGAGTGAGGGTCAGATGTAGCTGTGAAAGATTCATGCCTGTGCCAGACAGCAGGATGAACATTGTTCATTCTCCCTGCCTCTGAGAGGAAATAATGTATTTGGTCCTCTATATACTTTAGTGTGCAAATCAGAACCGGAAGAGTAGGAGGCCTTTCATCTCACTTGAGCAATTGAACATAGATCGTATAGCCATGGTTACAGATTGCTGTTTAAAGGCTCCGATCAATATTTTAGAGATTCTGTATCCCTGAGGGTTGGTTGGTGGAGAGGTTGTGGGGAAATGGATGTGGTTGCTTCACAGCTAACAACATCCAGCATGTTCAGCGTTCCAAATCATTGCGAATTGTTCCCAGTGAACAGAAAATAAAAATGATAATCCTTGCAGTTGATATAGAGCCTATAAAATATACAAAAACAGAAGTCGCTGGGAACACTCAGCAGGTCAGACAGCTTCTATGGAGAAAGGAAAGTGAGTCCACGACTCTTCATCAGTTTGTTTCGCCCACAAAACATGGTCAAATCACTTTACAGTATATTCTGCTTGAAGTGCTTTGAGATGTATCAACGACATGATAAAGCGCCACATCAAACGCAAGGATTATTATTATAACTTTGAAACGTCTCAAAGCGCTTGATGTTTTTCTTTTTCTGTAAAACGTAGTGATTGCATATTTTGTCGGCGAACACGGCAGCCAATTTACTCACAGCAATGTCCCACAAGCAGCTGTGAGTAAACGAGTGAGCAGTGGATTTTATCTGGGGGATTGTTGGCCAGGACTGAAGGCAGTTATGACACACACAAAAAGACTCTGTGTCTGTACCTGGTGCTGGTCACAGTTCCAGTCTCTTTAAAATCACAATGTAGAAGAAGGGGTGTGGGGGGGTGTGGAAGGAGAATGGAAAACAGCCTCTATGTTGACCTCTGAAATCTCAGGCTGTGCCGATGGACTAATGAGATCTTAAGAGACACAGAGAAACGCATTGGGAGGACTCGAGGCCGGAGCTTTTTAAAGCTCGCTAGCCTTAACATCCCATAAAATGTTTGCAATCAGAGTTAAGCGTGTGTTTAATAATTAGTGAAAACTTTTCAGAATAATTATCACAAGCCCTGAAGGGTTTGGAATAAATGCTGTCAGCAGCACAAAACGAAACCTTTGCACAAATCAGGTCATTAGTGAACAGGAATGGGTGAGTTGCAGGGGGCGTAAGGGGTTTGATTCAGAACATGATGTGAGGGTCAGTGCACTCCAGCTTTGGGTCAGTGAGCATGGCTATCATTACTGATTGGCTGTATTCCGATGACACTCTGGGGCCTCGCTATAGAAAGACTAAAAAAAGAGTTAAACTGATCTGAAGGAACCACGAGAACAATTCAGATGACAGGTCTCATTTACAAAGAGGAATACGGGGTGGTGGTGGGGGGGTGATGGGAAGTGGGGGAAAGAAACAGAGGCAGAAGAGACGTTGCCAAACAAAGGATATAAAAGGCGATGGTTACAAAGAAAGGAGCTTTCTTTCAACTTCCTGCTTTTGTTCCGCGCCGGTGACTGCACTGAAACGAATCAGCCGAGCTGAGCTGAGCCATGGGAGCTCAGGGAGGGCTTGGGAGCCTCTGACATTGACCTCCTTCTCTGTGTAACAGCTCCCCACTCCACACTCATGCCTGGCATGACAACTGTCCATGTGCCAGCTATTGGTGACGGGAGCACTTTAAGGGCTTTGGTACGCTACCCTGCATGAGGAGCAACTATATAAGTGCAAGTTGTTGTTTTTGGCAACATGCTGAACTCAAGGCTGGTTCAACTTGGGTCCTATCCACAGTTTGCACACTTGCCATCGGTGCCATATTGCAGACAGTATCCTACAAGCGTCAGCATCACTCTATTTCATGGATAGCATTTCTGAGGCCCCAATAGAACTGGGCAAGTTTGGTTGACTGGTTCCACATGTGACCTATGACCCCGGGGGAAGGGGCTGGTGGAGTTGGGATTCTTCCAAGTGTAGCGACTTTCATGCAAACGATTATAACTTTGGGAGTTATTGTCCCTATTGCTGATGGCCTTTTCCTACCTGCAAGAAGAATTTTTCACCCAAAGTGTCCAACCAAGAGGAATAGCGTCAGGGCTCATGGCCCTTCCCCCTCCTCCATCCCACTCTCATGGCTCAAACAGTGAATGCACAGCAAACTGTGGAACTGAGCCATTGCAAACCAGTCAGTTCCCAGGTTTAGCTTTAGCTTGAGTTCATTTATATCAAACAGTGGCATTTACAGTTGTCCTCAGTGACCCTGAGCTAGGGAGGAAAGGTGGAGTGTGTGTGTATCTGTGTGTTTGTGAGTTTAATAATAATAATAATTTTTACATTTGAAATAGCGCCTTATCACGTCGTTGAGACGTCTCAAAGGGCTTGTCAGAGCATATTGTAAAGTGGATTGACTGTATTGTGTGGGCGAAATGTGTGTATATATCTGTATGTGTGGGGCGCGGGGGAATCAGCCATGTTCCCTGCTTTCTTACCTGTGTTTCATTCTGCAGGAGCGAGAGACCAGACTTCAGATGGAGATCGACGGGCTTTACAAGGAGCTGAAGGAACAGAAGCAGCTCCTCAAACACAACTCGGATGTGATGCAGCAATTACAGGAGCAGTTGCTGAAGGTCAGTCCCATCGTTCATCCACTCCACCGAGAGCCACTCGCATCGAATGCGCTGCCGGTGTTTGTGTAAAAGGCCGCATCAATTCCTCCCGATGTGACCGGACCCCCCCGCCACCCACACACACATAGGTGATGGACCGCTTTCTGCATCCTCCTCTGAACGCAGAGTGCTTTGCTCTCGAGGTGTAGGGACAGTAATAACAAGCTTTTGTTTTATATTATTACTATTGTTGGTGAGCGAGGTTGGAACTTCTCACCCCCATTAAACGAATTAGACCGAAATGCGTTCCACGAGGGAATAAGGGTCGTCCCCACAGACAAGCCCCAATAGTCCACCCCCCACCCCCACACATCCCTTTTAGGCCCCAAATTGTCAAAGGACTACCTGCTCACGACCATCCGAGCAAGCCACTTAATGGGGCCAGTAATAAGAGGTAGGCAGAGAGAAGACTGTGCAAGAATTTAGCGAGAGAGAATGAACCATTCGAACTTCTCTTGCGCTGCCTTTCACCTCCAGTGAGTCACGATTGGGAGGGAAGTGGAGAATCCTGGCATTGGGTGAAGAAATATTATTCTTCATCCACATTGTGATGGTTTGTTTTTCTTGTCAGTTCACAGCCAGCTGACAACATGGCATTGATTAGAGATGTGTGTGTGTGGGAGGGGGTGGGGTGGGGGGGGGGGAGGAGGCTGTTAATGAAAGAGGAACACATCTGCTAATAGATAGCTGGATACCTCATCCATCAAGACCACCGCTCGCCCCCCCCCCCCCCCTTCCCCCTCTCTGCAGTTCTTAGCCCCTTGAAGCTTTTGTTTTAGTGGACGTGTAAATAATCTCCCGTTTTAACATCTGCAACTGTTTCACATGAAATGCTCCCAGGAACAGAGACTTACACTCAGTCCAAAAGCTCAAAATAATCGGTATTGAATCAGCTGGCACCTGACGGCCATTTCACATCCTTCGGTCATTAGAAACCTTTAAACTCTCCGTGTATGACTCGAGACCAAGCCAGGAGGAGCGATCGCAGGGAATGAAGAGACGATGGAGGGGTGACCTGAATGAAGTATTCCAGATTTTAGAGGGCATAAACAAGATAGATGATTCTTCAAGAGCTCTGTGACACATGGGGGGGGGTGGGGGGGGGGGTCGTGGTCTCAAATTCAAATTCAGTTGAGGTGAAGCTACTTTACACGAGACAGTGGTTGTCCAGGGAGCTGTTTAATGTGGCCATTTCAAGGGGGAATTGGATTTTGTTTTCATGGCGAAAGGAATTGCGGGTGTCTGACATAGGAAGAGATTTCTGATGGGTAAAGAGTAAGGGTGGGTGTTCTGGAAGGATGAGATCAAATAGGTTTTTGTCTTAAGTTTTGCAATGAATTTCATTGCCTTTCCCCAGCTATTCAGCACTGTCTTGGGAGCGCGGAAACCTGCTGTCACATTAATTGAGACTGAAAATCAAGTCATTAGCTTAAGGACCTCTCATTCATTCCTTTCCTGTTCTGTCTCCTTCCCTCCCAGGTACAGTCACAGCAGTTTCGGACCAGCTCCAGGGCGGAACGGGAGCAAAGCAACCATAAATCTCACAGAACTGCAGCAAAGGCAGAGAGCAGAGTCTGTGCCGTGATGTAAAGTGGATTTATTTTGTTTGGACACAAGCAATGCATTGCAACTTAAGGACAAACTTCTCCCTGTCTTTGCTCTTACGCTGTGTGGGAGATAACTGCATCATGACTTTCACTCGCTCATGAGGAAAGCTTTGGGATCCAACAAAATGACTGAGCCACTTTGTGTGACAAATGGGACTGCCGGAGTCTATAATGGAAAGCTCCCGACCCCCATCGCCCTGGTAACCCGGAGTTTCTCCACTGACCGACACAAAGGGAGGAGATGAAAAAAGGGAACTTTATGACCTGTGACCTCCCCGTCTCCTTTCCTGATCCCTTTGAACTGCCACAGAAAAGCCCACCCCTGGAGATTGAGGAGGCAGCTGCAGTTATCTGTCAGGCACTCACTCACTCCCCTGCATTAAGCCACCTGAACCAGCACAGTGGAGGGTAGAGTTCAGCTTGAAACTCAAGTAGGTTTTAGGCCTTAATGATAAATAATAATCCTTGCATTTGATATAGCGCCTTATCACGTCGTTGAGACGTTTCAAAGCGCTTCACAAAATACACCATAAACTGAATTGACTGCATATTTTGTGGTCGAAACGCAGCAGCCAATTGTGCACAGCAGTGCCTCACAAACAGTCGTGGACTGAATGACTGAATTATTTTTTTAAGGTATTATTATCCCCAGAAAGCAAACCCCAATTGACTAACAACCAGGTTCCTACTTACTGCTAAATAAACTTGTGTTTTTCAGGGCAAGTCTGTGGTTTGGATTCTTTGGATTAGGCCACATGGTCCTCTGGCATTGGCCACCCAAAGCTGTAACATTATTTTAGTTCAGGACGATAGAATTCAAGTATCATTCTATGCTTAAGTCATTTATCTCCGAGGCTTTCTTCCCTGCGGGCATTGGCTTGAATGGGAAGAGATAAGGAATATGTTCCATTAATTTTACAGCAAAGATAGTTTTATAACTGGGAATCTGCTTAAAGAGGGTGGAGCGCATAACTGAGAAACTCTGATACTGAGGTTTTCGGGTGTGACCTAATCTTGAAATTGGAGTTAAGCCGGTTTAAAGTGACTCCCGAGAATCTTATTTCTTTACACAAAGTCAAGCGAGAATGAGCCAGCCAGACCGGGAGATGTTTAAAAGGGAAATGGATAAGATACTTGGGAAATGAGGGTATTAAGTGATACGGAGAACAGGCAGGGAAATGGGATTAGAAGATTAATGAGCTGCTGTGAACTAATCGAATAGCAAAGGAGGCTTGACTGGCTGAGTGTCCTATTCCTGTTCCTAAATCAGTTAAGAACAAAATTGTGAGGAGGGGAGGGAGAGCTTCTTAGTAAGGTTTGACTGTGTATTTCACCCACAAATATACAGTCAATTCACTTTACAGTATATTCTGTGAAGCGCTTTGGGACGTCCAGAAGACGTGAAAAGCGCTATATCAAATGCAAGGATTATTATTATATCAAATGCAAGTATTATTATTATTATTAGGTGCACATGATTTTGAGCAGAATGGGACAATAGTATTCAAAACAATTGTGCATTAGATTGAAGGAATGGTGCCTCTGCCCTGAAAGTCCAGCGACCAAGCTCAGCAGTCAGCTCTGAACCTCTAGTGACAGAGCATCGGGGTGAGGCTATACACAGGGTAATTGGGGCGGAGAAAGAGGAAGATAAGCCTGCACTTATCTGCCTTTTATGTTACATCTCAGGGTGTTTTAAGTTTCTGCGCCGTTCTTGTTCGTATGCAATCAACCTGCCAGTTTTCAACACGGGTTGAGGTGAAACCGAGCAGAAATAAACGTTTGGGTCAGGAACCGAGGAACCAGTAGCCCGAGAGAATGTGGTTTCAATTTTCGCTCCTCAGGATAATGACAGTGTTAAGGAGCTTGTCTTCTCTCCCGCATTCTTTTCTTTACCAATTTTTCACCTTATCTCCTGAGGGTATTTAACTAATTTCCCTTCTGCTGGGATTCTGTTACAGTCACCCACCCTCCAGTCCATTTGCTAAGTCATAGGAACATGGGAACAGGAGGAGTCCTTCGAGCCTGTTCCGCCATTTAAGTAGATCGTGGCTGATCTATACCTCAACTAATCCTTTCAATTCCAATTTCCCGCTTTCTCCCCATATCCCTTAATACCCAAAAATCTATCAACCTCACTCTTGAAGGTATGGATGGATCCAGGATCCATGGCCTTTTTGGGGAAAGCATTCCAGATTCCTACCAGCCTTTGCATGAAAAAATGCTTCCTGATTTCACACTTAAACGGCCTGGTTCTAATTTTAAGACTATGTCCCCTTGTTTTGGATTCCCCCACCAGATGAAATAGCTTCTCTGCATCTACCCTATCAAATCCCTTTATCATCTTAAATACCTCAATCAAATCACCCCTCAACCTTCTAAACTCAAGGCAATGCAATCCAAGTCAGTCTGGAGGGTTAGGGGGGAAAGCGGATTCACATTTCAACCAAACTCTGTCCTTCTTGGATGGGTCTCCTTGGAGCTGAACTGGCTCAAACTGATGTCAAACACAAGGCTGACCAAAAACAAAGGCTACACCCAATACAGTCCTCGCCCAACATCCAAGCTCATTCAAGCAAAATGCGGCAGAACTTTCAGCAAAGGGAATCCTGCTGAATTGCAAATCCCTAACCCAGGGGCATCAAGGCCAATTGGCATTCCAAACAGCTAAGTGCTGGTCCACTGATTGGAACTCGAGCCACCAACCTTATGCTCTATACAGACTCCAAACGGTGTTTGTTCTACCAAGTAGGCTATCAGTTTCCTCCCTCTTCTCTCCCCCACCCATTCTAAATCAATGGGGAGAAATAACCTTCTTAACCTTCATTGTAACTGGAGAGAAAATAGGTAAGAATGCGAGCGCACAGAATTCACAAGCAAACACTTTGATCCCCTGCGGCCTTGGCTCTGTCGCTAGCCGCGCGTGACCCAGCTTTTCCGAGTCAAAATGATGGCAATTTTCACCCCATTGGAATGACTAAAAACTATTTTATTTTTTTCATCGATCAATTTGCACACGCGAACGAGACGCTAAAACAATCTTAAAAATGCACAAGAGGAAAAAAAATAAAAAGTGTTATTGTACACGAGCGGACAATCATACGATCAGTGGGAATCCGAACATTCGCACAAGAGGAACAATGTGTAAAATTGAAGGAGGACAAAGTGCTCTGAGCTTGGGGACTGTGTTGTCACAGCCCAGCACCACATTGGCACCCACACGTGGTTTAATATTGGTGGCATTTTACATCTTAAACCTCGCGTTTACAAAGCCTAGATTTTGACAGCAGAAGACAATTTTAAAATTNAAAAAACACTACAATACGCCCTTTTTATTTTTTGCTGTGGGCAATTTTTACAATCCAGTGTCACAATCCAGCAGCCTCTCTCCTTATAGTGGAGAAGTCAGTCAGTCAATCAGTCAGTCAGTCAATCTTCTCTTTATCTCTTATATACATGAACGGGACGTTGCACTGTTTACATTTTATTGATGGGAATGGCTACACCGCACATTTTCACACGCTATCAGAAAGTTACCTCAAGTGCATTGAGGGACTCTTTATACTCACCACCATAAAGCTTCTTAATCCCAACCCCCCCCCCCACTCCCCATCTCGTCAAACCAGCTAACTAACAGCAGCTTAAAATTCCTCATGCTTTGGGGTATGGAAAGAATGGGGTAAGGAAAGACTTGCCCTAAAATTCACAGGGGCTCGTGGAAACAAATCTTCACAAGTAACTAGAATACTGGTTTCCATATTAAGACACAATTTAAGAATTTTCACTGACTGTTAGTTAAAAGAGGATGTCAGGATCACTGCCCTAATAATAATCACTTTCAGATGTCTGTGCGTGTGTGTCTGTGCGTGTGTGTGAGGAGGGGCGGGGGGGGGAGGAGGGGGGGGTAAGAACCAAAATAACAAATATATTGTACAATCTGGAGAAATCCTTTTCAAAATGTAACCAAAATCTGTTTGCACAACATCACCAGTGATGTTTAGATGAAGAAGGCTTTGGCCAGTCACTTTTTCACAGAATAAAGTGGGTAAAACCCTACCCATCCTAACCCCATCTCCCCTCACACTTTTAAAAAAAACTTATAAAAGTTTTCATTACTGTACGGAGCATCTGATGCACTGTGATGAGGAGGCAGACTGTCCTGATAAGACTATAATGACCTGACCATCTCTAATCTATAAGTGTGTTGACCTAATATTCTTCAAAAGCTGCTTCGATTCATTCTCAGAGACAGCTGAGTGATACAAACCGTCAAATACATCAACCTTGTGCTCCCAGCTACGTTTCCAATGCCTTAAAGATCCTCGGCCGTTGTTGTCAGAGGGGCTAAACCCAGAAGTGGCCAAGCATTAAGGTGGCGCCCAATTGTTTCTTCACCGATAAGAGAGCAAAAGAGAGGAAAAACTTAACAAATAAATACTTTTAATCCAGCCATATGAAAATACCCTGTCATCACAAAACTACTTTGCACTGAACTACAAAGGAAGGATAGCGATGTGTCCCTGAGTGAGCCATCACCCTGAGCATTGTCAACTAGGAAATGATCAGGGAAGACAGCTGCTGGCCACAAATCAACAGGCTTGAGTATGGCACACAGCATTCTAACTGGTATGGCAGGCTCTGTACCCAACAGGAATGAATATGGCGTGTTGTGTGCCCAATGGTTATGTCCCACACACGTGGGTATGGCATGTAGCATGTCCAATAGACATAGTGATGGAACACATGTCCAATGGACATAATAAATGTAGTATGTCCATGCATTGACCCGACATGGCGCATGATGGATAAGCACAGCACAAACCATGTTCAACACGCAACTTGCAAAGCAAAGCATTATCTTCCACGTGAAACACACAGCACTTTCCCACAAACAGTGCTCTGTTGAATTCTTTTCCTCTCTTCCTTGTTCAGTGAGTGCCCTCAACAATTTCTTTCTAGCTATAACGCTGGGTAAGAATTGCTTCCCAATCACAAATGCTACTTTCAGTGCTGTTAATGAGTAAATACAGTAATGAATGAGGAACTGGTACAGATATTACATTATAAAAAAAAGGCTGCTCATTGGGATAGAACTTTATAAGATGGGGGTGTGGGGGAAAACGACAGGTAGTGGAATGGGGATAACATTGAAATCAATGTTACCTAGAAGATAAGCCTGTTCATATTGAGGTAGATAACTGGCTATAGGCCATCTAATATAACCAGAAGAATAAGGCTTCAATGGAAGCTGTCCACAAAGTAATTTCCATTTCTAACCAGAAAACAACTGCACACACAAGTCGCCACCACCCAGATGGAGCAGAGAGAGAGAGAGCAAGATGGGCATCAAAGCCACCTATGCGAAGGAAAACAAGCACAAGGGCATCAAAGTCACCCCTGAAATCCAGTGCAAGAGTAAAACTGACAATCTATGAACCATCAAAGGAGAGAAGATTTAAGTTAAGGTTCAGAGTACAGTCCATCACTGGTGCATTTTAGACATGTCCGTGTGAAAGTCAACCAACCAGCCTAGGCTGAGGCGTGACATGGAAAGGGAGAGGGGAGGGGGAAGGGGAGGTTGGAAGTCTTGTTACCATTATTGTCTTTGTCTGCGATCTCCACTTTCCTTTTCCTTTATTCCACCACCATTCCCACCGTTGGCTTCTGACACATAGTCTTTTCTTTGCATTATGGCTCTTCGGTAATGGCGCGCACACAGTCAAACACAAAACTCTTTTGTCGTTGCATCCCAATATGGCAGTCAATTTGGTGTTTCCAGAACATCTGGCTGGCTGCTATTTATCCGGAACCCCACATAACGTAGGAACCGAGGGAGATGGCCGATACAGTCAATGATCTCTTCCCAAGGTTTGCGATTCACCTTGAACGTTAACATGAACATCTGGGACATTTCAGAGGTCTGGCAGGAGTCAGATTTTGGATGTTGGACTCATCACTGACGAGGTGACATTGCCATCCCTTTCATTCATGAGGCGATCTGGCCCTCAGTGGCCATGAGAGTACAAACAGCTGGATCTACAAATAAAAAATGTTTTGGAGCTAAATGGAAATCCAGGGTCTGGTCCATTTTTAACAAAATAACACATGTCTTTGGTGAGGTTTCGGAGCGAGGAGCATTGATAAAACATTTCTCTAATCTGCTTCAACACACGACCATCAAGAATAGACGCTTTTGTCATGTAAAAAATAACGCAAACACATAAGACGCGGCTATGTACAGTATAACATACAAAAAAAATGACCATTACAATCCCACAGCCTCTTCCTAGAGCAGGCGAGAGGCTTGTAGAATCCTCACGGACACCAATGGAAGGGAAAGAGATCCCTGTGACACAAAATGACGTTCTATAAAATCTGAGGTAGAATGTTTCTCTTTATATTTGGAAGTGCTTTTTTTTACTCTTTCCTTCTTCTGGACAAAATTGGCAGCTGAGAGTGAGACTTTGAGGTAGTCCTGCAACAGTACTGACCAAGTGCTATTCTACTTGAGGAAAGGAAGACGCCATAATCTTGAGCAGCTTCCTCCGAAGACATTCAACGCGGCTGAGGTAGGTTTTTTTAATTTATCAATCAAATGTTTCTTTGAGTTGTTTTTCCCACAAGTTTGTCAGCAGCCTACGAGTAGGCCTCACTAGTTAATATTATTGTTTTTTGTTATACGAATCCACCACTGGAAAGTGAATGAACACGGTGTCCTGAGATTAATAACCTTGTGAAATCCATCTAATCCCTGCAAATTGACCTGCCACGTGTTTAGTTGAGGTTAGCAGTAGCATTGCATCCGTCCTGTGGTTGCACAGTCAGACACACAGGTGGCAGGCCATTAGCTGATGAACACTGCAAATGGCTGGAAGTCAGGTCAAGCCCTGAAAATGCATCCCTTGTAGGTAAATTCCATGGATAAACTCACGTGTCTTCATTAAAACATGCCCGAGTCTTGCAGGAGTCTTACAGATGGGTTTAATCCTTTGCAAGCTTCATGAAGTCCATTATAAAATGGGAGATGACCTGAGCTGGATAGTCCGAGCATAGATACCATCAGGTTGGAAAATGAGGATCATCTGCAGGTGAGGTCCAGTTTCAAAATAAACCCTACAGGTTAGGCAATAAGACTTGGCCTCTCTCAAAGGTTCACTCTGTACTGGGTGGGTCACAGTCGTGTATGGAGTTGAGGTGATTCGCACTTGAATCCGGTTGCTCTATTGAACAATGGACAATCGTTTCAAAGGACGTGTGCTGTTCCTGAGTGACAATGAACTCGTCCAGAGGAAAGGCAGAATTCTGGCAGATCAGACTAGGTCGCTCGTCCAACATAGGAGACCGGTTACCAGACTGTGAAGAAAGGAAACATAAATGAGTGACTGCTCATATTAACCCGGCACAGATTTTCATAGGAACATTGCTAGACGAAAAAAAGACCAAAGTCCATCTACTTCGCCTTCTATCATCGTGGTAGTTGTGTGCTACAGTAACGGAGATGTTGATTGCAATTAATTCTGTATGGATTAGTCTATTATCACAATGGAAAGCTTTGGGAACTTTAGATCCAAAGTTGTCTTGTTCTTCCAAGCATACATTTTCATTTATTGAACTGTTTCTAAAATACCTTTACAGTATGAATGGAATTTGTTCCTCATTCCCTCTATTACCCCTTATGTCCAAGTGAAAAATCAGTCACAATGCCTTACTCCCCACAAACCTATCTCTCTTTTAAACATGGCAATTGATTCTGCTTCTACATCCTCCTGAGGCAGCAAGTTCCACATCCTCACAAAGCCTATGTGTGAAGATATGAAGAACGGGGCTGCTGATCTCATGAACCTCTTCACAAGTCCTCCCTCCAGCCTTTTATTGCTTGAGTGGGACTGTGCTGATCCCAGCGGCCTGGGCTTACCATAATTCCTTTGTGCGGTTGCTCAATGGATGTTGGTGTAGGAAACAGTCTTTCCAGCTCATTCATGTCACCCATCTTCCTACTGGAGGTGAACTCTTCTCTACTTCTCCGTGGACCACCGTTCAGAACCAGTCCTTGTGAGTTTCTTTGGGGCCTGGGCGGCACTTGAGGAGTGGTCAGATGGTCCTCAACATTTTTACACATCAGCAGCCTGGAAACAAGGTGACAGTTCATGACTAATTACATTAGGCTTGTGCTTGGTAAGAGGACAATTAACTCACATCTTGCCCATGTCTCAGGTCACATGTGCAATACACACAGAGCAAAGGAAACACATGATGTGATTTGTGTTTGACACTGGGATTTATCACAAGTGATAAGCAAAATAGTGATGTTTCATTGTGCTCTGCTATTCATGTGGGTATCTGCTGTATAGAACAAGCTAACCCATCTTTCTGGCTCTGCACAATACAATTCTGGCATCCGGTAACTACGTCCAGGTACGGAACTGTGTAAAGCCTACACATCATGAGATAACAGTCGCTCACACAGCCACTGATCTCATGTCATGATGTTGCTGCAGAGATCAAATCACTTCTCTTATATAGACACAAACACACAACCATGTGAGCGTGCACTCTCACACACACACACACACACACACACACAATATATATATACACACACACAATTATATAGTGGAGAAAGACAAACACACGCACAAAACCGTATGAACAACAAAGATGCTCACGCTCCCCAAGTGTAACAGAATCGATTTGGTTGCTTCTACCGTGCGTTGATCACCAATGTGCTGGCACAAGCACAGTGATTGCCCCCATCAGAAACCTTTCAGAACTTGTACCTTCCACGGTATCCGAAGACGAGGAACAAGACGCAGAAGATAATGCAGGTGATGCCGATGTGGGTCCCAATGATGATGCCGGTGGTTGAGGTCCTGCTGTTCTCCTCGCTCGCACAGTCGCATGCACCTGGAACATCAAGCGGCTTTGGTTAGTAATAATATAATAATAATCCTTGCGCTTGACATATCAGATGTCCAGGGTTTCTGCTAGTGATCTCTCGGTAACAAAAATTGGGAGACTCTTAAAGCAAGATGAGAGGTTTCCGCATGTACTAGATACTTGGCTTACCAAAAAATATTGTGATGTATTTGGCATAATAGTCAATACGCACAACAATGCATCCACAAGTGAATTCTGTGCTTCACCGTCTTAGCCTTGATATTCAGGCTAACACATGCGGAGATTCATCATCTCTGTATTGACCAGCATAGCATCACATCAAACTATACCATCTCTCATGATTGTCTCAATCCAACCATCATTCCCTATTCCTGGTCCAACAATCCCATGTTCGGTGAGCCCTGCTCGCTTCCCTTTATCACACTCACCTGTCTGTCTGTCCAGAGCGTCCTGCAGGGCCACATAGCGCACAGTAAAATTTCCATCTCCGTGACGGTTGAATGCCAGAACCTTAATTTCATAGGCCAGCATTGGATCTGGTAAGAAAATAATTAAACACTGGATTAAAAATAAGAAGAATCCTCGCCTTTGATATAGCGCTTTATCACACCGGCGAAACGTTTCAAAGCACTTCACAGGCTTTATTGTGAAGTGTAGTGCTTGTGTCTTTGAAGGTGAAACTCGCAGCCAATTTGCCCACTACAGTGTCTTACAAACAGCCAAGAAGCGAGTGACCCATTTTATCTGGAGGATTGCTGGCCAGCACACCGGGAGAAACTGCCTTCTCTTATTGAATAGTGCCGGGAGATTTTTAACATCCACCTGAAGAGGCAATGCTCCCCCCTGCTCTGCATTGGAGCATTAGCCTAGACTGTGAGGTCAAAGTACCGACATTGGGGCTGGAATCCACAATCTTCTGACTCAAGAGGCGAGAGATGCTACCACTTAAGCCAGGCTGACACGATGCAGGATTGTTACAGGAATAGTTCAGCGCTTGTGGTTTATACACAGATGTGTCTCTTACCCAGATGAGTTATGTTGTAGGACGTCACGTTCCCTGGGAGGAGCACAGGCCCAGTGAAGTGCTTCCCATGAACCTTGCGATAGTACAGCTTGAAGCCTTGGTGCTGGTTGAGTTTAAGAGCCGGTTCCCACACAGCCTGTATGGCTGTTCTGTTCAGGACTTTGATGAATAGGGCCGGCATTGCTGGGACTAGAAATAAAAAGGACAGGACATTACACAGTCAACAAAACTCCTAAACCCAACCAGCTATTACACGGTCTACGTGCCCTCTCCTGTATATTCGCAGTGTCCCCGCCCCACTCTTTGGAACTCCATCCCACAGTCCCTTCACCTCGTTCCCTCCCTTGCCTCCTTCAAAGCCTGTCTCTTCGACCGCCCCTTCGGTCACCCTCCTACCCCTACTCTACTGCCCTCCACCCTTCCTGATCCCAACTCCCAGCTCGGGTCCAAACCCCTGCCTGTCCAGTGCCTTGGGACATCCTCCTGACACGAAAGGCGCTAAACAAATGTAATTGTTGTTCCTCAGTGTCAGTCACCTGTTCATATATAGCTACTGTATCTCTAGTTCTAAGACTATTACTGAGGTTCACAGTATAGAAATCCCCCGAACATGACAAATCACTGAGAAATCAGAGATCAAATCCCCCCCCACATCCCGACCCACCCACCCACCCACACACACCCACTCACACACACACAAATAAAAGTACGGAACATACATTAAAGCAATGATTACTACCTGACCCTAGAAAAGAGCATTACTGCTGTTGTAGAAACTGAAGGGCTCTTGCACACAGCAATCACTAACAGTGGAGAGCATTCCGTTATACGTTTATAATGTGTTAGTGATAAGCTTATGACAGACCTCTTGGTCTGTATGTTAATCTGTTCCCAGAGACACAATCTAATCATTAAATGACAGTCAAACCATTTTTTTGCATTAACTATAGGTGAGTCGGAGGGCAACTGGCAGATTGGTTTATTGAGGAAGATAAGGTTTGCAGTGCTGGACTGATGCTAAAAGCAAGAGAGAGGGGGTTAGAGAGAGATATTAAGAGAGACTTTGGCAGTCACTTTCTCAGAGTTGTGTTCACTTGGACTCAGACAGAGGGATGACATTCTCTTTCTCTCTAGGGAACTGGCTGTGAGTTAGACCCATTTGTCTTTCAGTTCTGGGGCCTGAGTTCAATGCAGCCTTGACTGAAGGGACAAAGGAATGTTCCCCGCCTCCAGATAGATGGATTAAACTTTCTCTCAGGGCGGAATGATTACAAATCTTCACTCTCTCCCCCTCTGGCCTCCCACCTCACCCCAACAGAAAAAAATCCTTTCCCTTTCTTCAGCTCTCTGGAGGAACAAAATCATCTGGGGATCATTCTCCAGATTGGGGTGGGGTGGGGGGGAAGAGAGGGAGAAAGTAAGTATTAAGTACATGGGCAGAGTGAGGGGGCGGTGGAGAAATTAGAAATAGGTCTAGATTTAACCTAGAAGTTTCTTTCAAGAACAACAAGAAAACGGCTTCCAAGTAAAGACCAAATTCAACAATTTCCCAAATTCTGCACCAAAAAGCCTCACAAACAGAGTAAATCTAGACCCAGATAGAATTTTTCCCCCAAACCAATATTTTCTTTTCAGCCCAGCGTGAAAACCCAATCCTTATGGGACAATAAAGCCCCCACCTCACCTCTCCTCTCCCTTCCAGGAGTGCAGAACCCATATAACACCCCTCCCCCTCTCAAAATGTATTTCCAACCCGACATCCACAGCCCGTGTTTCTGGCATGTTTGAGGCTCCTGCTGTAGCTCTATGTACGATGCCGCTGTGTAAAGTGCCTTTCAGTCAGAACTGGTACTTGCCTTCCCCCAGTGTGCTCTTGCTGGCTGGTTCGGATGGCTTGCTCGCTCCTTTCGAGGTGTAAGCCTTGATATAGAAGGTGTAGCCGGTCGAGGGCTCCAGGTCAGTCACCACTTGCTGCAAGGTGCTCTTGCTCACAGCCTCCTGGTATTCCATCTCTACAGGATCTGGTCAGATACACAGAAGATTCAGAAAGCTGACGAGACCGTCCTGAGGATACAGAGGCTGCAGCCCAGGCGTTAGGACATTCCTGCAATGTCTCCCCCACATGTCTACGTGTCTTCCACCGTCACTTCCCTCCCTGCCTCCTCCTCTCGTCTCGGTGTCGTGCTCTGCCGCTGTCAAGCGTTCTGGGGACTCAACCCCTTCCCTCAACATCTCTCGAGGATAACTTTTCCCCCAGCCTTATTATAATAACAATAATAATAATCCTTGCATTGGATATAATGCCTTTCATGTCAGGAGGACATCTGACAGCGCTTCATGGGATTTACTGCAAAGTGTAGTGACCGTGCCTTTTGTGTTGTGAGACATTGCTGTGGGCAAATTGGCACTGGTCAGGCTCCGGCACTGTTAAGCGCTCCGCTGTATAAATGCAAGTTGCTGTTGTTGTTGGTCTACCAAATATACAGACATATTTCATGACGTAACAAGGTCTATATCAAACGTAAGAATTATTGGTATAAAGTACTTGAATCTGGACTCTCCATTCACTTCCCCTTCCTCATCCCACCTGAACCTGAGACACACCTGCAGCCTTCCTGATGTGTAGCACGTAACCGATAATGTCTCGCGTGTTCTCCAGTGGCTTGCTCCATGATATCTGGATGGCGTTGGCAGAGAGAGCTTTGGCTTTCACCTCTCGAGGGGGTCCTGGAAGCCCCTCTGCCCACAGCACCGTCAGCCGGGCGCTGGCCTGGGTGGAACCGGCTTTGTTTTCGGCAATGCATTGGTAGATCGCTTCATCCGCTTGAGAGATGCCATTTATTGTGAGCGTACTGGGGGGAAGAGCGAGGGGGAGAGAGATCAAAGTGAATAACACATCAGTGTTGTCATCCACACTGCAACTCGAGTCTGTTCTGCTGCATATNCCCCCGACCCACCATCAGCAGCCGATATATAGCTCCCTCACCCCGTTCTCTGCCACTCTCTTCCTCTTTGGGAGAGCACGGCAGAGTTGCTGGACGAAAGACAACCAAAGACTTGTCCCAAACTATATACTGTTTTCCAAGATATTATTTCCTAACAGAAATGTGTCTAATTTGCTTTTGAAAGAACTGACACTTTATGCTTCCACCGTCTCCCTTGGTGGCCTGTTCCATCCTGAGTTCCTCCACCTCGGACCCTCTCCTCTTTATATTGACTGCAGAGGGCAGTAAGTGACCCTTTCATTCAGGCGAGGATAGGAAGAAGCCTAGAGGACCTGGGAGACATTGCATTCATTGGTGTTAGCAACGGCGTTCACACTGGTTAGAAAGTAGAACTGAACGACCAGATGAATTAAACCAATTAAACCAAATGCCTTTCGCGAGGACTTGGGTAAATTAGCATTGAGCTCAGAGTAAACACCGCAACACAGGCCCTCTCTTTATAAAGAGAATCCAGCACAGGAAATGTGCTTCAAGCGCAAAACCTCTGCTTTTAATTCGAAACCAAAGCACCCAAAAGGGAAAAGGGGAAGATCAAAAACATGGATCTGAGAGCATAGAGGAGAATCCTATTTTTTTTTAACGATGCGAAAAGCCTGTGTAATGCAGAAGATAAGTGAGACCTCACTCTAACACAGGCTGCTAACAGGCATGAGCGCTCCATTGTGTGTCTGCTGGTAACGTGGACACCGCTGGACACTTCAATCGGAGCCGTCGCCTCTGAGAGAAAAATGTTTCACTTTGAAACAGAAAGAACTTGTTGTGTTGCAGAGACTTTCCTGGAGCTTCCCTTTGAGTGTGCTCTGTGTTGCCGGGATTAATAAAACTCCCGCTGACACGACAGATCAAAGAAGCTCCTTTAATGGCCATTGTCATGGGCTCCCTCACCAGGCTCCCAGCATCAGTGACTGAACTCTCTGCTCCTCTCTCTCCCTCTGTACCCAGATCCTTCTCTCCATTAAAGAAGCCAGCGAGAGGCTTGTGGGAGGCAGAAGTACATCTTTTGAACTGTCTCTCTATCAAACACACAGGACGGGGGGGGGGGGGGGGGGAGACAGTGGGGTGTCGCTCTTACATCATGTCGTAGGGAGCAAGATAACATCGGAAGAACAGTCACCCTTAGCTGGTAGCCTTGGAGCAGAATTTGGCAGAGAACTTTCTACCTTTCACCTGAATGAGGAGTGGGCGTGCAGAATGGGGAGGCCCCATACTAATAAATAATAATAATAATCCTTGCATTTGATACAGTGCCTTATGTCGTCGCGACGTCTCAAATCGCTTCACGGAATATACCGTAAAGTGAATTGACTGTATATTTTGTGGCCGAATTTTACATGGTGGGGGAAGCAATACTCAGTCACCCCAGTCCTCCAATACATTTACACTCTGCAGAGAAATGTGGCAGAGACGCAGAAAGTCTGGCTCATCGCTGCTACTTATATCAGATACTTGTGAAGCGCAGAGCACAGTCGCTGGCAATGTAATGCCTTTGAAAGGCAACCAAAAAGAAAAGGTAAGGCAGGGACAGTGCCAGCTCGCATTCACACAGGAGTGTGAGAGAAAGGCTATTGAGAGAGGACCATTCAGAGGCTGTCGTCCTATAGACAAGCAATCAGTATGACTGATTTCCCAAGGTCAAAGGGCCAGACCAGTGACCACTCCTTTGTCGCACAAAAGCCCCCAAAGAGATGATTAACTCTCTGTGGCACAGAGGGTGAGCAGCAACACAGTGCTGGGACTTAGAACAAAGAGTTGCTTCTGGGAGCAGAACACAAGATACAAACTAAAGGGGGCCCCCTGAAATTCCTCAGCTCCTCTCTGGAAGAGAAGAGAAAATTCCCGAACCTTTTTTTTCGAATCCCGTTGCATAGTTGTTAGAGCGCTCACTTCTTGAGCGAGAGGAGCCGGGTTCGATTCTCGGACGCGTTGGGGCGAAACCTTAGGCACGTTTCCTTACTCCGCACGCCTCTGTTTACCTAGCGGGAAGTTAGTCGATTGGCGGTTCGCTTTCTGGGGGTAATAGTCCCTCCCCCCAAAAAATGTGGTCACTCAATCCATGGCTGTTTGTGGGACACTGCTGTCTGCACCCACTGACATCCCGGCCAATGACCATCTGTGCAGCGAAAATCTCCTCTCCTCCCTCCCCAACATCATGAACATGTAAATCGCTTTCGGCAGCAATATCGAAATGGCCAACAGCCCCCCAACCCCACCCACATACCTCAACGTTTCAAGAGTATCTCAACTCTAAACTACTCAAGAGATCAAATGGCCCATTTTTACCCTGTGTTAATCATTCCTAGGACCAGCCCGGCACTGATCCAATGGACGAATCCCTTATGAAGAGGATTACCGGCTGGTGGGAAAGAGCTGTGACCGGAAGGACAGGACAGTCTGCCTCGATCCATCGTTGGGCTTTTCCTTTGTTCCAGGGAAGTCACAGGGGAGGGGGAGAGGGTGGGGGTGGGATTGCCCGATGGCGTTATATGGCAGCTTTGTTGTTGCTTAATTTGCCTGACTTCACTCAGACTCTGCTCTGACCAGCTGCAGGGGGCCATTAGGTTGAAGGGTCCCCGGGGAGGTTGGGGGGGCGGGCGGGTGGTGGGGGGTTGCTAGGGAGAGGTGGGCGGTTAAGAGACCTTTTCCTTCCTCTGAAAATTTCACCGGCACATGTGTCAGTCTCTGACACGCATGGTTAAGCTGACTCACACCTTCAGGCAGCTGATATCATAATAACCCTTTGCATTTCATCCAGCGCCTCTCACATCAGGACGACGCCTCAAAGTGGGGCTCTGCAGGATTTACAGTAAAGTGTAGCGACTGTGCGTTTTGTAAGACAGCACGACAGCCAATGCGAGTAACAGCTGTTTAACACTGATAGACCGAGAGGAGAGGATAGCAAAACTACATGCATTTTGGACTAATTCAGGTCCCTGAGATGAATGTAAATACAGACATCTCTCACTGTCACAGGGTGAAATCTCACGGGTGAATTGTCTGGATGACCTGCCTCTCGTCACGGTGACTCACTTGTTGTTGTTTTTCAGTTTGACGTGTTCGCTGGGCGCCAGGATTTCACCGTTTTTCAGCCAGGTGAGCTGGGGGATGGGCTCGCCTTCGGCCAGGCAGTTGAAGATGGCTGTGGTGCCCACGGGCCGCGAGATGGACTGAGGGAACTGGACAAACTCTGCCGGCGCTGAGGACAAACAGGAGATCAATCAGCGATCATACACAGGCTCGGGGCCCAGGGTGGCCAGTGAAAGGATTAATATCCCCGTCTCAACATGCAGCTTTTGTAGTTCAGGCTCAAGTCGGATTCAAAGTACAGGGTGTCCACAAAGTCCTGTTACCCCCAACCCCCCCACACCCCCACCCCCCATTACAAAACTGAGATATGAGATTAGGGAGGAGCTGAAAAAAGAGAAGCATTTCTCCTCGTAGGAACATAGGAACAGGAATAGGCTGTTCCTATGTTCCGCCATTCTATTACCGTCTTAAGGGGGGGTGGGGGGGGGCATATGACACTGCATTAAACAGTGAACCAGCACTCAGCGGGTTAAAGTAACTGCATTTTTTATGAGTCACACATTCCTCCTGCCCAGGTTTCATTATTCATCAGCCTTCAATAATTTATCTGGTTACGACACACAGAACTATTAATTAGACAATTCCAAGGAATTTGAAATACGAGTCTTTAGAGCTTTTTTTTATATCTACAGTCAGTGTGTAGGGGTTTCCAGCTATATATCTGTACGTAAAGCCCCCTTCACTACATGATCTCCGTTATTGAGAGCAAAGCCTCAGCATCACACCCTCAGGTCTAAGAGCTTTTCAAGTCAACGCTGTAGAATTTGGGGGCTGAGACCAAGGCATCAACACTGAGTGATTAATGTGTAGTGATTGCTGGTTCCCCAGTGGGGTTTCGCTCAATACCATCTATCTTCAGATGAATCTGAACTATTAGCTTTCTCTCACCCCCCCCACCATCCCTTCACCACCCTAACACCACCCCCTGCAAACCCTCTGACTTCCGTGCCTTTGACGTGATAGCCCTTCTCTTCTCTCCCATCCAACAAGGTATCGCCCGGCCGACACTCGCACCAATACCAGTTCAGCCGTGGCTCATTTTCATGCAGGGCAGCAGGGCTTTTACAATTAAAGTGAGCAGAGGGGTTGCGCCCGCAACACGATTTACATTCGTATAGCGCCTTTCACGTCGGGAGGACGTCTCAAAGTGCTTCACACTGCTGGCTGGGCAGCCACCCACATGATGCTGAAACCACAAGTTCCCCTGGAATACTGTTCTGCCAGAGAAAGAGAGAGAGAGACTCACTGTTTACCTTGCACCACCAGCCTCCCCTGTGCTGTCCTCCGCACGCGGGTCCCTGGCTTATTGGCCGCACACACATAGACCCCAGAGTGCTGAACCGACAGGTCAGAGATCATCAGGTTTCCCGTGCCCAGCACCTGGATCCCCTCCACCCCAATCGGCCGTCCGTCTGAGGAGGACAAAGATGTTAACACACCAGTTTGCGATTTCACCTGCGAGACTCGAGCTCTGCTCCTCCATCCTGAGAATAATAATAATAATCCTTGCATTTGATACAGCGCCTTATCATGTCTCAAAGCGTTTCACAGAATCTACTGTAAAGTGGATTAACTATGTATTTTTGCGGGCAAAACGTGGCAGCCAATTGCACACAGCAGTGTCCCAAAACAGGTGTTTTCCTCCCCAATAGCAGGGTCTAGAATGAATGGGATTTTCCATGTAATAATAAATCCCGATACTTGTACTTGACACAAAATACGCAGTCGCATACAATACACATTGCCTACAAATATGCACAGTCACTCCACTTGGCAATGTATCCTGTGAAGCAGTTTGAGACGTCCTCCTGACGTGAAATGCGCTGTATCAAATGTGGGGTTTATTATCATTGCGTCAGATAAGCTTCAAAGTGCTTCGCAGTCGGTTACTAGTAAAGTGCCGTGATTGTTGGTTGATAGGTAGGCCAACAGGCAGCACCGGCAAATTTCTCAACAACTTATTTTGTGCCTTTCATGTGGGATTGATGTCTCATCCAGAGGACAGCATCTCTGACAAAGCAGGGTTCCCCCAACACTGCACTGGGGTGTCAGCCTGGACTGTGAGCTCAAAGTCTCAACTTGGGGACTTTAATCCACAACGATCTGACTCAGAGGCGAGAGTGTTAGCGATTGAGTCAGGTAATTAAAAGGGGAATCATAGCGAGAGTCTGTCGCAGTCACATTATATCTCCGAGTACAAATCAATTCCATTTGTCAGGTAGATCGTGATCCCAGGGGCTACTCTTCCTTGTTATTATTATAGTCCTTGTTGGTGAAACAGTCATGGATAAAAATGAAAACCTTGCAGCTTACGTCTCTTTCATTTAACATGTCTAAACTTATGCTCCAGCCTGCTCCCGTGCCTCCGTGTGATACAGTATGTACCTGACACTCAGCAAGTCTACCATTTGGAAGGAATTAAGCTTCCGCCCCAGTGTAATTATGTTTAATTACCAAACCATGAATACGAAGGACAGAAACGAGCTGTGGGCAATGGTCCAGCTCTTTCAGAACAACCAGTGCTTTAACCCCTTTAAGTGTAACACGCTCTCGGCAAGTCAACAAACACTGCCAGAGGCATCATTAACTCTCCGGCTGCTGAAACAAACCTGGGGAGCAGCCGAACTAACCCCAGAATTTCACTCACTTCAATCTAAAGCGCTCCCATTACAGCCCTAACCTGGAAACCTAAAGTTCCCTTTAAACTAAGACTGGAGAATAATCAGTGTATCGCTGAGCAGACTGGTAGGTAGTAAGGGCGCAAAGCACAGTAGAAGAGCAGGCTACCTGCTTAATAATAATCCTTGCATTTGATGAAGCACCTTTCACGTTGGGAGAATGTCCCAAAGTGCTTCACAGGATTTCCTGTAAAGTGGAGTGTGTATTTACTGTTCCCCGCACCAGCACAGAATATCCAGTGTGACTCTTTTCTGTCTGATACAACAATCAATTTTCATTCACCAACATAGAATTCCCCAAAGCCCATCCACAGTCACACCAGAGGGCAGGAATCAGAAAAGATCATTTTGCCCTTGAGTTCATCAGCCTATTCCTTTTCCCCCTACTCAGTCCCGTTTCCAACACCCGTTTGCCTCTCTTCTACTCAGCGCTGTGTTCGCCTCATAACATGATAATCCTAGCATGTGATGTACAGAGCCTTTCTCTCGCGACTGCACCCCTCACGTTGAGTAGGATCTGCTCACCCAGACGACTCCACGAGACGATGGGCCTGGGATTTCCGGTCGCGACACATTCCAGGACAGCGGTCTGGTGCACCGTCAGCGTGAGATTCTCGGGACCGACCAGGATAGTTGGCTCCTTGTAAACGTTCGAGTGAGATCCTGAGCAGAAGAATTCAGAGTCAATAATAATAATATTTGCAATTAATATAGCACCTTATCATGTCTGCGAGACGTCTCAAAGTGCTTCACAGAATATACTGTAAAATGATTTGACGGTACATTTCGTGGGCGAAATGCGGCAGCCGATTGCGCACAGCAATACACAGTGATTCTCCCCAACCCTCGCCACAGTGACCATAAAGGCAATCATTTTTCACAAAACAGGGTCCCACAAACAAGTATGAGGTGACGAACTGATCTGATCATTCTGGAGGATTGATGGTCAAGACACGAATCCTCAGGGCTGAGGGTGCTACCAGCTGAGCCAGGCTGGAACCACAAACTTGTGGTCTACATCGCGCCAATTAACATGAGGATCAGCACTAACCTGAGACTGCGAGGCTGGCTTCGTCGCTGTACTTAGTGCTGGCACTGTTTGCTGCCACGCACTGGTAAACTGCGCTGTCCTCCTCTCGTACCCCTGTAATCTGCAGCACCCCCGTGGGCAGCAGAGTGAACCTGGAAGACACACCGGACTGGAGTAAACAGGGAGACTGAAAAGGCGACAAAGCTGAAATAAACAAACTGCTGGAAATCCACAGAGCGTCAATCAGCAGCTGGAAATGTCAGTGCCTTGGGACGTCCTCCATACGTGAAAGGCACTATACATTTGTTGTTGTTATATTGGTCATATGAACGCTCATATAAATAATAATCCTTGCATCTTATATTGCCTTATCATGTTGTTGGGACGTCTCAAAGCGCCTCCCAGAAGAGTGGTTGAGGCCAGGATGCTGGACTCATCTAAAAAAAAAAGCAGCTTGATGCTGGGATGGGAAGATGGGAGGGTGGGTTATCCTGGAAAGATAAAAACAAATTCACTGTATCCACCGACGGTGCCATACGCTACAGTACTCCTTTTACACCTTATTCGTACAGTAATTCGTGGTCTGAATTTAGGGATTGTGCCATTGGAGTCCTGTAGCTCAGTGGTTAGAGCACTCGCTTTGCAAGTGAGAGACCTGAGTTCAATTCCAGGCAGAGGGCGAAACCTTGGGCAAGTTTCCTTACTCCACACAGAGCCGAATAATAATCCCTCCAAAACCAAAAACAATAATAAATTGGTCATTTTCAATCTACCACTGTTTGTGGGACATTGCTGTGCGCAATTGGCTGCCGCGTTCGCCCACAAATATACAGTCAATTCACTCTACAGTGTGTTCTGTGAAGCGCTTTGGGACGTCCTCCCGACGTGAAAAGCGCTAAATCAAATGCAAGGATTATTATTATTATTATTATTATTATTGCAGTACCATTTATCTCCACCAAAGGGCGCTGCTGTGCTGTGGCTTGGTGGACCCTTAACCTCAGTGTCTCCCTTCGGAGAGCATTTTGCTATCTCGCAACTGAAGCCCTGAAGGGGTGGACACACTGTTCCCCCCCAGCAGTACCTTAACACTACTTACACAATTTTGTTTCAGTAGGGAATGGAAAAGAAATATGATCGGTCAATGTTTCTATGCCCTACCAGGAGAGCCGATAGTCTGGAAACACTCCTGCCCGTGCTACTCACTCTCTGGAAAGGCAAGAGCTACTGGTTAACGTGTGAGCAGGAGATGACCACCAATGCTCAGTGAAGTCAATGAATGGACCTTTTGCGCCGTTTGTGAGACCTTCGCAGAAGTCAGAGAGTGAGGTGGACTTCTGAAATTGACCAACTTTTCAGGCTTTGAGCAAAGAAGGTGGTTTAATGCATAATAATCCTTGCATTTGATATAGCGTCTTTCACATCAGGAAGACGTACTCAAAGCGCTTCACAGGATTTACTGTAGAGTGAAGTGAAGTGAATGCGTGTTTTGTGGGTGCACTAACTAAATAGGAATTCACTTCCGAAACTGGTAGGTGGCAGGGTGCGTGCGAGGGAGTATAATTACCTGTCGTTCCGCGCATCAATGGGTCTGCGGTTCTTCAGCCACATGATCAGAGGGTCCGGTAAACCGTGAATCTGGCATTGAAATCGAGCGATGCCTCCCTCTTCCACCACCGTTGACTGAGGCTGCACGTGGAATGGGGACAGAGCTGGAGAGAGGGAGAGAGAGAGAGAGAGGATGAATAGATGAGATGAAGGTTAAGGGAAAGTTACTACATCTGTTCTGACACATTGCACGCATCAGCAGCTCTATGCCAAATTCCACCAGAGCATCCATCACACAGCACCCACCGCCTCCAGCAAGCCCATCACTTCACCCTCTCACACAGAGGCAACGAGGAATTTAACCAGACCCTGTTGGTGCTTCCACCAGGCCCTACCGAGTTCCATCACCGTAATTAGCTCCAACCTTTGTGCGCGGGTTCACTGAGCAATCAAGAACAATCATTCCAGTGGTTAAGAGAATCGACATCGAGTGTTTGGAAAGGGTTGGGGTTCACGGAGCAGAGTTTGCTATGAATGACAGACACAACACTCCAAAGGCTTCCAGTACCACCATTCCAAACAGATACCCGGTGGGAGACAGCCTTGTTCAGATAAAAGCTCCCTTTATAAGAGCCTGCATTCCTCAGCCTTGCACAGCATAACAGACAAGCGGAGGTGGTTAAGCATTACATTGGACAGAATAATGTTTGCATTTGACATAACTAGCACCTTATCACTCCATCGAAAGGTCTCAAACTCTTCACAAAGGTCTCAAACTCTTTACTGCAGAGGGTGGTGGCTGTGTACTTTGGATTATCTTGAATGAAAATTCCGCTTGACATAATTAAAAAAGTGCCTCCAACAACAACAACTTCCATTTATATAGCGTCCCTCACGCAGGGCAGTGTCCCAGAGCGCATCCGAGTGCGTTGGTGACGTTATCTATTAGTGTTTGATTTCAGTTTTAAAAAACAGCTTAATGCTGTGATGGGAGGACAGTAGGGTGGGTATTCTGGATGGGTGAGGTCAAATGGACTTAAAGGACTTTCTTCATCCAAACCAATCCTGTGCTCTTGTAATCTTGTGAGGACATTCCATTTCCAATCCCACTGCGTGGATCCTTCATACACCACAGACTGTAGCCACGGTAAAGAGTAATTGGCCAAGGAAGTCCATTGTGAATGGTTGGAAGCTGTATTTTTAATGCAAAGGGGTGGTTGAGATTGGCTGAGGCACCATGTAACATAAACAGCCGGAAATAATATTTGTTCAGGGCGGTTCAGGGTGAATCGCTGCTGAGAAATTACTCCCAGGCATGGAATCAGGTGGAGAGACAGACTTCAAACTCATTACAGTTATTATTTTTTCCACAAGCAGTTCTGCTTATTTAGTTGGACATTAAAGATCCTACGGCTTTACTGTATTCGACAAGAAAAGGGAATTTCTCTCTCCCGGTTTCCTGATCAACAATCCCCTAAATAAAATTGGTGATTCACTTCACGGTTGTCTTTGGGACATTGCTGTGCACAAATTGGCTGCCGAATTTTAGTCACTACACTTCATAGTAATAATAATAATCCTTGCATTGATATAGCGCCTTATCACCTCATTCAGACATCTCAAAGCAATCTCAACTGAAGCGCTTTTGAGATGTTTCGATGGTGTGATAAGGCGCCATTTCAAATGCCAGGATTATTATAACCCAGCACTGACTGATCTGAACAGGGGCTAGACAAATTATTATTCATTCCGGTGCATGATGTGTTTCCATCCTTATTACCAGGGCGGCTAACCGAGCAATCCGTAAGAAAAATGGCAAAGGATCATTAACAATGACTGATTAAATTGTCACCAGCACCCACATAGTCATTTCTCATCTTCTAATGATCTCCTACTGACATCGACATTTGCATGCGAGACTAATAGCACAAAATGACAGTTAGCTCTTTGTCTTTAAAACAACATAATAGACCTCCCGACACTCCTCACAGCTATAGTCTCCGCACACATGCTTCATTCCACCACTTTAGCCCAATCAATTCATGTTAACAGGCTCTATTATAAAACACATTCTTTCAGCATCTCTCTGTCTCTCTCTCTCGAAACGCATTGCACAACCCCTTTCATTAATAACACTGCAATATATTTCACTTGCACCAATCGCTCCACCGATCTCACTGTAAAATACAAAATGGACAGTCGTTGTGTCCACTCCACAATATACGCTGTGTAAGCGCTCCGAGTCGACTCGACGTTTAAGCAGGAGGACCTGGGGACTGTTTTTTCAGCACTGCGCTTTCCTGGAAAGTGATGGCTGGCTCCGAGTTGCGGCTCGACGTGACAGAATTATATCCACAGGCTGCACGCCTCGGAGCCACGGCAGCAGCTTTCCCAGGAAAGTTGGCGGCAGCCCAAGTCAAATAACAACCATTCTCAGGATCCGTGCCAAATCCTGAGTCACATCACTTGCGTTCTATTATTCTGCTCAAACTCCCGTAAATAGCTGACCATGGGAAGCCCCCTCCTCCTCTCCCTTTCCTAACTCTCCTGCCTTTGGCAGCTTTCCAAGCTATTACTGGTTCAAAGAGTAAACTCAATGCCCCCAAACAGATCAGCTGTAACTCCGAACGTTTCACAACTTCCCTTCTCCAGGGCCAGCACACTGCATAGCTCAGCGCTCTTTTGACTGCATTATGGGGCTAAGCGTGTGCTCTGTCAGGCTAATAAACACAGTCTGAGACACAAACTGTAAACTCTGGAGCCGGGCCAACTCAGCAGCAAGCCTTCAGCTGCGGTCTGGTTTCCGCACCACAACTTCATCCCTGAAAATGTCATCGTGTACTAAATATTGACCTGCTCCATTTCCCATCGGGCGATATTAATAACAATGACAACATAATAATAATCCTTATCATAATAATAATCCTCGCATTTGATGCAGCGCTTTTCACATCTTCTCGACGTCTCAAAGCGCTTCACAGAATATGCTGTAAAGTGAATTGACCGAATATTTGTGGGCGAAACGCGGCAGCCGATTGCGCACAGCAGCGTCCCACACACAGTCGCGGATTGGAAATGACCATTTTATTATTTTGTTTTGTTTTGGAGGGATTATTGTGGATTGTGGAGTAAGGAAACCTGCCCAAGGTTTCGCCCTGTCAGGAATTGAACCCAGGTATCTCACTTGCAAGGCGAGTGCTCTAACCATTGAGCTACAAGACTTGCATTTGATACAGCGCTTTTCACGTCTTCGAGACGTCTCAAAGCGCTTCACAGGAATATACTGTAAAGTGAATGGACTGTATATTTGTGGGTGAAACCCGGCAGCCGATTGCGCACAGCAGCGTCCCACAAACAGTAGTAGATAGTAATAATAATAATAATCCTTGCATTTGATATAGCGTCTCATTAAGTCGTTGACATGTCTCAAAATGCTTCACAGACTATACTGTCAAGGGAATGGACTGTGTGTTTGGTGGGCAAAATGCGGTAGCCAATTGTGCACAGCAGTGTCCCACAAACAGTTGTTGACTGATGATAATAATGATAATGATAATAATAATGATAATAATCAACATCATCATCATCATCCCGGCATTTGGTACAGCACCTTATCACACTGTCAAAATCTCTCAAAGTGCTTCAAGGCATTCAGTGGAAAGTGTAGTGACCACATTTCAAGCGTTCCGAGACACTACCCTGTGTCAAGGGCGTTATATAAGTGCACATTGTTGTTGTGGTTGTGACATGAAAGGCGCTTTACAAATGTAATTTTGTTGTTATTGTTGACTATATTTGCAGGTGAGCATGGCAGCCAAATCAAATACACAGTCACTTCACTTTACAGTATACCCTACAAAGCGCTTTGAGATATCTCAACGAAGTGATAAGGGGCGATAGATATCAAATGCAAGGATTATTATAAATAGCCCTATAACCAAAATAAAACAGAATGTTTTCAGTGCCTATTTTAATGCTCCTAATAGGGCACAGTGTTACTCGGTAAATTAACCTTTTCTCTCCCGTTCTTTTCCTACCTGGTCAATGCACTGGGTAAAAAAAAATGTGATGATGTCGATTTTGATGCGTTGTATGATGTGACATTCGATTAGACAATGTGATGTGTGGCCCACAGAGATGATCTATAGGTTCATGAAGCACCTAAAGTATCGTGCTATTTGCCAACGCATTACAGAGTGAAAGGATATTGGCTAATCCATTGCAAAATGTGACACTCTACATTGCGCAGTGTGACACCCTATTGGTGATTCATTGCACAGTGACATATTGGCTGAGGTGACACTTGAGAATGATTGTTTTTATTCCCCACCACCCCTCCCGTGCAGATGAAACGAGATTCCTCCCCTGTCAGGGTGTCTAACGTGACGGTGTTCTCTGTCACCACAGTGTCCCAGACGCAACACACCAAGTGGATTTTATTAAGCGATAACAGGTAATCAACAGCGACAACAATAACTTGCATGTACATAGCACCCCTCGTGCAGGGTAGTGTCCCAGAGCATTTTGCTACATGCTACATTGCGCAGTGTGAAGCGCTTAATCATTATAGAGACTTGAAGATGTCCTCGTCACAATATCCCTAACCTCTGAATCTCCTTGCCTCAATCCCTCCGCTTTACCCTGTCTTTAAATACCACCTTAAGACATAACTCTTCATTTACGGTCACCTCACCTCCCACTCTCCCTTGCTCAGTGTCTAACCTGTAACCAACCACCGTGATGGGACTATGAATGTCATACACACAGGTCGAAGGCCACCTTGGGAATCGGAAGTCCAGTTGATGTCGAGTAACTGCAAAGTGAGCTTGTTATAAATCAACTTCAAAGACCCAGAGATCCACAGGCGGGTTAAACATGCCATTGAGGCGTCTCAAAGCTCTTCACAGAATATACCATAAAGTGGACTGACCGTGTATAGTGTGGGCGAACTATCAAGGATTATTATTATAATTACTGTTATAACACATTTGTCTGATGATTCCGAACACATTCGATATACGTTCTTCCATCCTATTTCAAACGGGAGCATCGAGATGGAATAAGATAATAAAATAACAATAATCCTTGATTTTGATATGGGGCCTTCGACACGTTTCAAAGCGCTTCACAGAATACACTGTAAAGTGAATTGACTCTATATTTT